GTGGTGAGCTGAGTGATGGTGTTGGTGGTGAGCCGAGTGATGGTGTTGGTGGTGAGATGAGTGATGGTGTTGGTGGTGAGCCGAGTGATGGGGTGGTGGTGAGCCGAGTGATGGTGTTGGTGGTGAGATGAGTGATGGTAGTGGTGAGCTGAGTGATGGTGGTGGTGATGATGGTGTTGGTGATGGTAGTGGTGAGCTGAGTGATGGTGGTGGTGAGCCGAGTGATGGTGTTGGTGGTGAGCTGAGTGATGGTGTTGGTGGTGAGCTGAGTGATGGTAGTGGTGAGCTGAGTGATGGTGGTGGTGGTGGTGTTGATGGTGTTGGTGATGGTAGTGGTGAGCTGAGTGACGGTGAGCTGAGTGGTGGTGAGCTGAGTGACGGTGGTGAGCTGAGTGACGGTGTTGGTGGTGAGCCGAGTGATGGTGTTGGTGGTGAGCGAGTGATGGTGTTGGTGGTGAGCCGAGTGATGGTAGTGGTGAGCTGAGTGATGGTGGTGGTGGTGTGATGGTGTTGGTGATGGTAGTGGTGAGCTGAGTGATGGTGGTGGTGAGCCGAGTGATGGTGTTGGTGAGCCGAGTGATGATGTTGGTGGTGAGATGAGTGATGGTAGTGGTGAGCTGAGTGATGGTGGTGGTGTTGATGGTGTTGGTGATGGTAGTGGTGAGCTGAGTGATGGTGAGCCGAGTGATGGTGTTGGTGGTGAGCCGAGTGATGGTAGTGGTGGTGTTGATGGTGTTAGTGATGGTGGTGGTGAGCCGAGTGATGGTGTTGGTGGTGTTGGTGATGGTAGTGGTGAGCTGAGTGATGGTGGAGGTGAGCTGAGTGGTAGTGGTGGTGTTGATGGTGTTGGTGATGGTGGTGAGCTGAGTGATGGTGTTGGTGGTGAGCCGAGTGGTAGTGATGGTTTCGACGGTGATGTTGATGGTGGGGTGGTGAGCTGAGTGGTAGTGATGGTGTTGATGGTGGTGGTGAGCTGAGTGGTGGTGGTAGTGGTGGTGTTGATGGTGTTAGTGATGGTAGTGGTGAGCTGAGTGATGGTGTGGTGGTGAGCTGAGTGATGGTGGTGGTGAGCCGAGTGATGGTGTTGGTGGTGAGCTGAGTGATGGTAGTGGTGAGCTGAGTGTGGTGGTGTGTTGATGGTGTTGGTGATGGTAGGTGAGCTGAGTGATGGTGTTGGTGAGCGAGTGATGGTGTTGGTGGTGAGCTGAGTAATGGTGGTGGTGTTGATGGTGTTAGTGATGGTGGTGGTGAGCCGAGAGTGATGGTGTTGGTGGTGAGCCGAGTGATGGTGTTGATGGTGTTGGTGATGGTAGTGGTGAGCTGAGTGATGGTCGTGGTGAGCTGAGTGATGATGGTGGTGAGCTGAGTGATGATGGTGGTGGTGAGCTGAGTGATGGTGTTGGTGGTGAGCGAGTGATGGTGGTGGTGAGCCGAGTGATGGTGTTGGTGGTGAGCCGAGTGATGGTGTTGGTGGTGAGCTGAGTGATGGTGGTGGTGGTGAGCCGAGTGATGGTGTTGGTGGTGAGCTGAGTGATGGTGTTGGTGGTGAGCTGAGTGATGGTGTTGGTGGTGAGCTGAGTGATGGTGTTGGTGGTGAGCTGAGTGATGGTGTTGGTGGTGAGCTGAGTGATGGTGTTGGTGGTGAGCTGAGTGATGGTGTTGGTGGTGAGCTGAGTAATGGTAGTGGTGAGCCGAGTGATGGTGTTGGTGGTGAGCTGAGTGATGGTGTTGGTGGTGAGCCGAGTGATGGTGTTGGTGGTGAGCTGAGTGATGGTGTTGGTGGTGAGCTGAGTGATGGTGGTGAGCTGAGTGATGGTGTTGGTGATGGTGGAGGTGAGCTGAGTAGTAGTGGTGGTGTTGATGGTGTGGTGATGGTGAGCGAGCCGAGTGATGGTGGTGGTGGTGAGCCGAGTGATGGTGTTGGTGGTGAGCCGAGTGATGGTGTTGGTGGTGAGCTGAGTGATGGTGTTGGTGGTGAGCTGAGTGATGGTGGTGAGCTGAGTGATGGTGTTGGTGATGGTGGAGGTGAGCTGAGTAGTAGTGGTGGTGTTGATGGTGTTGGTGATGGTGGTGGTGAGCCGAGTGATGGTGGTGGTGAGCCGAGTGATGGTGTTGGTGGTGAGCTGAGTGATGGTGGTGAGCTGAGTGATGGTGGTGAGCCGAGTGATGGTGGTGGTGAGCTGAGTGATGGTGTTGGTGGTGAGCTGAGTGTTGGTGGTGAGCTGAGTAATGGTGTTGGTGGTGAGCCGAGTGATGGTGTTGGTGGTGAGCTGAGTGATGGTGTTGGTGGTGAGATGAGTGATGGTAGTGGTGAGCTGAGTGATGGTGGTGGTGAGCCGAGTGATGTGTTGGTGTGAGATGAGTGATGGTAGTGGTGGTGTTGGTGATGGTAGTGGTGAGCTGAGTGATGGTGGAGATGAGCTGAGTGGTAGTGTGGGGTTGATGGTGTTGTTGATGGTGGTGAGTGAGCTGAGTGATGGTGTTGGTGGTGAGCCGAGTGGTAGTGATGGTTTTGACGGTGATGTTGATGGTGGTGGTGGTGAGCTGAGTGGTAGTGATGGTGTTGATGGTGATGGTGATGGTAGTGGTGAGCTGAGTGATGGTGTTGGTGGTGAGCTGAGTGATGGTGTGGTGAGCCGAGTGAGTGATGGGTTGGGTTGGTGAGCTGAGTGATGGTAGTGGTGAGCTGAGTGATGGTGGTGGTGGTGGTGGTGTTGATGGTGTTGGTGATGGTAGTGGTGAGCTGAGTGATGGTTTTGGTGAGCCGAGTGATGGTGTTGGTGGTGAGCTGAGTGATGGTGGTGGTGTTGATGGTGTTAGTGATGGTGGTGGTGAGCCGCGAGGATTGTTGGTGGTGTTGGTGATGGTAGTGGTGAGCTGAGTGATGGTGGTGGTGAGCTGAGTGATGATGGTGGTGAGCTGAGTGATGGTGTTGGTGGTGAGCTGAGTGATGATGGTGGTGATGAGCCAAGTGATGGTGGTGGTGGTGAGCCGAGTGATGGTGTTGTGGTGAGCTGAGTGATGGTGTGGTGGTGAGCTGAGTGATGGTGTTGGTGGTGAGCTGAGTAATGGTAGTGGTGAGCCGAGTGATGGTGTTGGTGGTGAGCTGAGGGATGGTGTTGGTGGTGAGCTGAGTGATGGTGGTGAGCTGAGTGATGGTGTTGGTGGTGAGCCGAGTGATGGTGGTGAGCTGAGTGATGGTGTTTGGTGATGGTGGAGGTGAGCTGAGTGGTAGTGGTGGTGTGATGGTGTTGGTGATGTGGTGGTGAGCCGAGTGATGGTGGTGGTGGTGAGCCGAGTGATGGTGTTGGTGATGTTGGTGGTGAGCTGAGTGATGGTGTTGGTGGTGAGCTGAGTGATGGTGGTGAGCTGAGTGATGGTGTTGGTGGTGAGCTGAGTGGGTTGGTGGTGAGCTGAGTGATGGTGTGGTGGTGAGCCGAAGTGGTGGTGGTGAGCTGAGTGATGGTGTTGGTGGTGTGCTGAGTGATGGTGTTGGTGGTGAGCTGAGTGATGGTGGTGAGCTGAGTGATGGTGGTGAGCCGAGTAATGGTGGTGGTGGTGAGCTGAGTGATGGTGTTGGTGATGTTGGTGGTGAGCTGAGTGATGGTGTTGGTGGTGAGCTGAGTGATGGTGGTGAGCTGAGTGATGGTGTTGGTGGTGAGCTGAGTGATGGTGTTGGTGGTGAGCTGAGTGATGGTGTTGGTGGTGAGCTGAGTGATGGTGTTGGTGGTGAGCCGAGTGGTGGTGGTGAGCTGAGTGATGGTGTTGGTGGTGTGCTGAGTGATGGTGTTGGTGTGAGCCGAGTGATGGTGTTGGTGGTGAGCCGAGTGATGGTGGTGAGCTGAGTGATGGGTTGGTGGTGAGCCGAGTGATGGTGTGGTGGTGAGCTGAGTGATGGTGTTGGTGGTGAGCTGAGTGATGGTGTTGGTGATGGTATTGGTGAGCTAAGTGATGGTGTTGGTGGTGTTGGTGATGGTGTTGGTGGTGAGCCGAGTGATGGTGTTGGTGGCGAGCCGAGTGATGGTGTTGATGGTGAGCTGAGTGATGGTGTTGGTGGTGGTGATGGTGTTGGTGATGGTGTTGGTGGTGGTGATGGTGGTGATGGTGTTGGTGATGTTGGTGGTGTTGGTAGTGGTGAGCTGAGTGGTGGTGAGCTGAGTGGTAGTGGTGGTTTTGATGGTGATGTTGGTTTTGATGATGTTGAGGGTGGTTGGTGGCGAGCCGATGGGTCACCTCCACTTTGATGGCACAGCGTCCGATGGCTCTCACGGCTTTGCGCACAAAGTCCACGTCCACCTCCGTGGCGTACTCCTTCAGCTCCGCTAGCACCTGCTCACGTGGTGAGACACGTGGTGAGAGACACGTGGGGTGAGACACGTGGTGAGACACGTGGTGAGACACGTGGGGAGTACACGTGGTGAGACACGTGGTGAAGAGACACGTGGGGTGAGACACGTGGTGAGACACGTGGGGAGACACGTGGTGAGACACGTGGGGAGAGACACGGGGAGAGAGACACGGTGACACGCGGGGAGAGAGAGACGCGGGGGAGAGAGACGGGGAGAGAGGACACGGTGACACGCGGGGAGAGAGACGCGTTGGGAGACACGTGGGGTGAGACACGTGGGGTGAGACACGTGGTAAGACACGTGGTAAGACACGTGGTGTGACACGTGGTGAGACACGTGGGGAGACACGTGGGGAGACACGTGGGGGAGAGGACACGTGGTGAGAGACACGTGGGGTGAGACACGTGGTAAGACACGTGGGGAGACACGTGGAGAGAGAGACGTGGGGAGACACGGGGAGAGAGAGACGGTGACACGCGGGGAGAGACACGGGGAGACACGTGGTGAGAGGACACGTGGGGTGAGACACGTGGTGAGACACGTGGTGAGACACGTGGGGAGACACGTGGTGAGAGACACGTGGGGGTGAGACACGTGGTGAGAGACACGTGGGGTGAGACACGTGGGGAGAGACACGTGGGGTGAGACACGTGGGGTGAGAGACACGGGGAGAGAGACACGGTGGAGAGAGACGCGGGGAGAGAGACGCGGGGAGAGACACGCGGGGGAGAGACACGCGGAGAGAGACGCGGGGGAGACACATGGGGAGACACGTGGTGAGAGACACGGGGAGAGAGACACGTGACACGCGGGGAGAGAGACGTGGGGAGAGACACGGGGATACACGTGGTGAGAGACACGTGGTAAGACACGTGGGGAGACACGTGGGAGACACGTGGGGAGACACGTGGGGAGAGAGACACGTGGTGAGACACGTGGAGAGAGACATGTGGGAGAGAGAGACACGTGGTGAGACACGTGGAGAGAGAGACGTGGTGAGACACGGGGAGAGACACGTGGTGAGACACGTGGTGAGACACGTGGGGAGACACGTGGGGTGACACGTGGGGAGACACGTGGAGAGAGACACGTGGTGAGACGTGGTGAGACACGTGGGGAGACACGTGGGGAGACACGTGGTGAGACACGTGGAGAGAGAGACACGGGGGAGACACGTGGAGAGACACGTGGAGAGAGAGACACGTGGTGAGACACGTGGTGAGACACGTGGGGAGACACGTGGTGAGACACGTGGTGAGAGAGACGTGGTGAGAGACACGTGGTGAGACACGGGGGGAGACACGTGGGGAGACACGGGGGATAGAGACACGTGGGATAGAGACACGTGGTGAGAGACACGTGGTGAGAGACACGTGGTGAGACACGGGGGGAGACACGGGGAGAGACACGTGGAGAGACACGTGGAGAGAGAGACACGTGGTGAGACACGTGGGGAGACACGTGGTGAGACACGTGGTGAGACACGTGGAGAGAGAGACGTGGTGAGAGACACGTGGTGAGACACGTGGTGAGACACGTGGTGAGAGACACGTGGGGAGACACGTGGTGAGAGACACGTGGTGAGACACGTGGGAAGACACGTGGTGAGAGACACGTGGTGAGACACGTGGGAGACACGTGGTGAGAGACACGTGGGGAGACACGTGGTGAGACACGTGGTGAGAGACACGTGGGGAGACACGTGGTGAGAGACACGTGGAGAGACACGTGGAGAGAGAGACGCGGGGAGACACGTGGGGAGAGACACGTGGGGAGAGACACGTGGGGAGAGACACGTGGGGAGAGACACGTGGGGAGACACGTGGTGAGAGACACGTGGGGAGAGACACGTGGGGAGAGACACGTGGGGAGACACGTGGAGAGACACGTGGGGAGACACGGGGAGAGAGACACGGTGAGAGAGACGCGGGGAGAGAGACGCGGGGAGAGAGACGTGGAGAGAGACACGGTGACACGCGGGGAGAGAGACGCGGGGAGAGAGACGTGGAGAGAGACACGTGGAGAGAGACACGTGGAGAGAGAGACACGGGGAGACACGTGGTGAGACACGTGGTGAGACACGTGGTGAGACACGTGGGGAGACACATGGGGAGACACGGGGACACAGAGACGGTGACACGCGGGGAGAGACACGTGGGGAGAGACACGTGGGGAGAGAGATGCGGGGAGAGACACGTGGGGAGAGACACGTGGGGAGACACGTGGTGAGACACGGGGAGAGAGACACGGTGAGAGAGACGGGGAGAGACACGTGGTGAGACACGTGGGGAGGACAGTGGTGAGACACGTGGGGAGACACGTGGAGAGACACGTGGGGAGACACGTGGGGGTGAGACACGGGGAGAGAGACACGTGGGGTGAGGACACGTAGTGAGACACGTGGGGAGACACGTGGTGAGAGACACGTGGTGAGAGAACACGTGGGGAGACAAGTGGAGAGAGAGACGCGGTGAGAGACACGGGGAGAGAGACACGGTGAACACGCGGGTAGAGAGACGCGAGGAGAGAGACACGGGGAGACACGCCGGGGAGAGAGACACGGGGAGACACGCGGGGAGACACGTGGTGAGAGACACGTGGTGAGAGACACGTGGTGAGAGACACGTGGTGAGAGACACTGGTGAGAGACACGTGGTGAGAGACACGTGGTGAGAGACACGTGGTGAGACACGTGGTGAGAGACACGTGGTGAGAGACACGTGGTAAGACACGTGGTAAGACACGTGGTGAGACACGTGGGGAGACACGGGGAGAGACACGTGGTGAGACACGTGGAGAGAGAGACACGGGGGGAGACACTGGAGAGACACGTGGGGAGAGAGGAGACACCGTGGTGAGACACGTGGGGAGACACGTGGTGAGACACGTGGAGAGACACGTGGAGAGAGAGACGTGGTGAGAGACACGTGGTGAGACACGTGGTGAGACACGTGGTGAGACACGTGGGGAGACACGGGGGGAGACACGTGGGGAGAGACACGGGGAGAGAGACACGGTGAGAGAGACCACGGGGGAGAGAGACGCGGGGAGAGACACGTGGAGAGAGAGACGCGGGGAGACACGGGGAAGAGAGAGACGCGGGAGACACGTGGGGAGACACGGGGAGAGAGACACGGTGAGAGAGACGCGGGGAGAGAGACGCGGAGAGAGACACGTGGAGAGAGAGACGCGGGAGACACGGGGAGAGAGAGACGGGAGAGAGACACGTGGGGAGAGAGACGCGGGGAGAGACACGTGGGGAGACACATGGTGAGACACGTGGGGAGAGACACGTGGGGAGAGACACGTGGGGAGAGACACGTGGGGAGAGAGACGCGGGGAGAGACACGTGGGGAGAGAGACACGTGGGGAGACACGTGGGGAGAGAGACACGTGGGGAGACACGGGGAGAGAGACACGGGGAGAGAGACACGGGGAGAGAGACACGGGGAGAGAGACACGGGGAGAGAGACACGGGGGGAGAGACACGGGGGGAGAGACGCGGGAAGAGAGACACGGGGAGAGAGAGAGACACGGGGAAAGAAAAACAGAGAGAGACACGGGCAGAGAGAGCGAGACAGAGCGAGACACGGGGAGAGAGACAGAGAGAGACAGAGAGAGAGACAGAGCGAGACAAGGGGAGAGAGAGAGACAAGGGGAGAGAGACACGGTGAGCGAGAGAGACAGAGAGAGACACAGAGAGAGAGACAGAGAGAGAGACAGAAAGAGAGACACAGAGAGAGAGACAGAGAGAGACAGAGAGACAGAAAGAGAGACACAGAGAGACACAGAGAGAGACAGAGAGAGACAGAGAGAGACAGAGAGACACAGAGCGAGAGAGAGACAGAGAGAGAGAGACAGAGAGACACAGAGAGAGAGACAGAAAGAGACAGAGAGACACAGAGAGAGAGACAGACAGAGACACGGAGAGAGACAGAGACACGGGGAGAGAGACAGAGAGAGACAGAGAGAGAAACAGAGAGACAGAGAGAGAGACAGAGAGACAGAGAGAGAGAGAGAGAGACAGAGAGAGACAGAGACAGAGACACGGGGAGAGAGACACGAGGAGAGAGACAGACAGAGAGAGAGAGACAGAGAGCGAGACAGAGAGAGACACGGGAAGAGAGAGACAAGACAGAGATACAGACAGAGAGAGACACGGGGAGAGAGAGACAGAGAGCGAGACAGAGCGAGACAGAGAGCGAGACAGAGAGAGACAGAGAGAGACAGAGAGAGACAGAGAGAGACAGAGAGAGACAGAGAGAGACAGAGAGCGAGACAGAGAGAGACAGAGAGAGACAGAGAGAGACAGAGAGAGACAGAGAGAGACAGAGAGAGACAGAGAGAGACAGAGAGAGACAGAGAGAGACAGAGAGAGAGACAGAGAGAGACAGAGAGAGACAGAGAGAGACAGAGAGAGACAGAGAGAGAGACAGAGAGAGACAGAGACAGACAGAGAGACGGAGAGAGAGACAGAGAGAGACAGAGAGAGACAGAGAGAGACAGAGAGAGACAGAGAGAGACAGAGAGAGACAGAGAGAGACAGAGAGAGACAGAGAGAGAGACAGAGAGAGACAGAGAGACACAGAAAGAGAGACAGAGAGAGACACGGGAAGAGAGAGGGAGAGAGAGACAAGACAGAGACACAGACAGAGATACGGGGAGAGAGAGACACGGGAAGAGAGAGAGACAGAGAGAGAGAGACACGGGGAGAGAGACAGAGAGAGACACGGGGAGAGAGAGACACGGGGAGAGAGAGACAGAGACACAGAGAGAGAGAGACACGGGGAGAGAGACAAGAGAGAGAGAGACAAAGACAGACAGAGAGAGACAGAGAGACACGGGGAGAGAGACAGAGAGACACGGGAGACAGAGAGACACGGGGAGAGAGACAGAGAGAGACACGGGGAGAGAGAGACAGAGAGCGAGACAGAGAGAGACACGGGGAGACAGAGAGACACGGGAAGAGAGAGAGACAAGACAGAGACACGGGGAGAGCGAGACAGAGAGAGAGACAGAGAGAGAGACAGAGAGTGAGACACGGGGTCAGCTCCCACCTGGGCAATGTTGGCTGGAGATGCGAGGCGCATCATGATGTTCAACTTCTCCAGCTTCACGTAGATGGGGTCGTTGTACTTGACAAAGAAAACTTTCATCTCATGCTTCAGGATCTCCGGCCTGGACGAGGGCGTGAGCGGTGAGCGGGAAATTAAATATATATAATTATTAGTAAATGTAACTATTATATAGTCTTATATTTTGATTTAAAGCTTTCGTGACTGCAGCGATTCATATTCTTGGCTCTTTCGGTAAAGTCACCACCACGTAGAAGGGAAACAATAAATATCAAAAATATAAAACGATAAAATTATTGTAAAACAATGAATTATTATTCTTGGTTCTTTGGGTAAGTCACAACCACGTAGATAGGGAAACAATAAAAGAATAAAAATAATAAAACAATACAATTATTGTAAAACAATAAAATTATTATTCTTGGTTCTTTGGGTAAAGTCACCACCACGTTGAAGGGAAACAATAAATAATCAAAATATAAAACAATAAAATTATTGTAAAACAATACAATTATTATTGTTGGTTCTTTGGGTAAAGTCACCACCACGTAGAAGGGAAACAATAAAATAATGAAAATAAAAAACAATAAAATTATTGTAAAACAATAAAATTATTATTCTTGGTTCTTTGGGTAAAGTCACCACCACGTAGAAGGGAAACAATAAAATAATAAAAATATAAAACAATAAAATTATTGTAAAATAATAAAATTATTATTCTTGGTTCTTTGGGTAAAGTCACCACCACGTAGAAGGGAAACAATAAAATAATAAAATAATATATAAAAATCCAATTATATATATTTTTTTATTATTTTATTGTTTCCCTTCTACGTGGTGGTGACTTTACCCAAAGAACCAAGAACAACAATTCTATTGTTTCACAATAATTTTATCGTTTTTAATATTTTTTAAAAATAATTTTATCGTTTCCCCTTCAACGCGGCGGCGGCGGCGACTTTTGCCCGAACGAGCCAAGAGAACGTGAATCTCCGCGGTCACGAAAGCTTCGAATCGAAAAAAAAAACACCACCACCCCCCCTCCTCTCCTCCCCGCCCACCACCGTGAATCCCCCCTCGTCCGACGGTGTCCGTCAATGTTATCAATCGACTCTCCATGTACCCCCCTCGTCCGACGGTGTCCGTCAATGTTATCAATCGACTCTCCATGTACCCCCTCGTCCGACGGTGTCCGTCAATGTTATCAATCGACTCTCCATGTACCCCCCTCGTCGACGGTGTCCGTCAATGTTATCAATCGACTCTCCATGTACCCCCCTCGTCCGACGGTGTCCCGTCAATGTTATCAATCGACTCTCCATGTACCCCCCTCGTCCGACGGTGTCCGTCGGACGAGGCTGGCGTGTCCGACGCCGCCCGTGTACAGGGCCGCGGGCGCTTGCTTGACGCGTGTCCCCGTTCGTCGTGGGCGTGTCCCCGTCGTGGGCGTGTCCCCGTCGTGGGCGTGTCCCCGTTCGTCGTGGGCGTGTCCGTTCGTCGTGGGCGTGTCCCCGTTCGTCGTGGGCGTGTCCCCGTTCGTCGTGGGCGTGTCCCCGTTCGTCGTGGGCGTGCCCGTCCGTCGTGGGCGTGTCCCGTTCGTAGTGGGCGTGTCCCCGTTCGTCGTGGGCGTGTCCCCGTTCGTCGTGGGCGTGCCCGTTCGTCGTGGGCGTGCCCGTTCGTCGTGGGCGTGCCCGTTCGTAGTGGGCGTGTCCCGTTCGTCGTGGGCGTGCCCGTCCGTCGTGGGCGTGCCCGTTCGTAGTGGGCGTGTCCCCGTCCGTCGTGGGCGTGCCCGTTGGTCGTGGGCGTGCCCGTTCGTCGTGGGCGTGCCCGTTGGTCGTGGGCGTGCACGTTGGTCGTGGGGCGTGCCCGTTCGTCGTGGGCGTGCCCGTTCGTCGTGGGCGTGCCCGTCCGTCGTGGGCGTGTCCCGTTCGTCGTGGGCGTGTCCCCGTTCGTCGTGGGCGTGCCCGTTCGTAGTGGGCGTGCCCGTTCGTAGTGGGCGTGTCCCCATTCGTCGTGGGCGTGCCCGTTCGTAGTGGGCGTGTCCCCGTTCGTCGTGGGCGTGTCCCGTCCGTCGTGGGCGTGCCCGTTCGTCGTGGGTGTGCCCGTTCGTCGTGGGCGTGTCCCGTCCGTCGTGAGCGTGTCCCCGTTCGTCGTGGGCGTGCCCGTTCGTAGTGGGCGTGCCCGTTCGTAGTGGGCGTGCCCGTTCGTAGTGGGCGTGTCCCCGTAGTGGGCGTGCCCGTTCGTAGTGGGCGTGCCCGTTCGTCGTGGGCGTGTCCCGTCCGTCGTGAGCGTGTCCCCGTTCGTCGTGGGCGTGCCCGTTCGTAGTGGGCGTGCCCGTTCGTAGTGGGCGTGCCCGTTCGTAGTGGGCGTGTCCCCGTAGTGGGCGTGCCCGTTCGTAGTGGGCGTGTCCCCGTTCGTCGTGGGCGTGCCCTTCCGTCGTGGGCGTGCCCGTTCGTAGTGGGCGTGCCCGTTCGTAGTGGGCGTGTCCCCGTTCGTCGTGGGCGTGTCCCCATTCGTCGTGGGCATGTCCCCGTTCGTCGTGGGCGTGTCCCCGTTCGTCGTGGGCGTGCCCCCGTTCGTCGTGGGCGTGTCCCCGTCCGTCGTGGGCGTGTCCCGTTCGTAGTGGGCGTGTCCCGTCCGTCGTGGGCGTGCCCCCGTTCGTAGTGGGCGTGTCCCCGTTCGTCGTGGGCGTGTCCCCGTTCGTCGTGGGCGTGTCCCGTTCGCAGCTTTGGGAGGTGCACCGCACGCGCGCTGCACGCGATGTCAAATCAGCAACAGCGAGGCGATTATCCGCGCGCGGGGGGGCGATTTTCAAGGGAGGCGCTGCCGAGGCTGCCAACGGATCGGGAAGTCATTTCGGTCGGAGGCCCCCCGAGCGCCGGCGCTAGAATTCTGCAAAACGTCGCCGTGGTTAGGACGAGCGGAGTGTGTCGGTGGCTCAGCTAGCTGTACGGAGGGTACACGGAGAGTCGATTGATAACATCGGGGGAGCTCTTCGATTTAAAGCTTTCGTGACTGCGATGATTCATCTTCTTTGGTTCTTTCGGTAAAGTCACCACCACCACCATGTAGAATGGGAATAAAATAATAAATTGATAAAATAAAATAACACAATAATAATATTATTATTGTGTTATTTTATCTACGTGACTTTACCGAAAGAACCAAAGAAGATTGAGGGAGCTTATGTTTTTTTTTTTTTTTACTGGTTTACTATGTGGTATTCATTATATGGTGTAGTGTACACCCAGTTGCTTTGTGATTAATAGCTCAGCCTACTGAAGAATCTGTTACGTACATTTATTATGTATCATTATGAAAGTTGGTTAGTTGGAGGCCTTCAGCGTCCAGATACTAAATGCCCCTGTTGATATGTGAACTTTTGACTTGAACACACAGCCGTTTCGGTCACGAGCTAATCCCTCGGCTATTTCAACGCTAAATTCTCCTGCTCCGATAGGCGAACCACCTTTGTCAAGGCTCGCCGCGTCCTCTCTCACCGAGCTTAAAAGAAGGCCGCTTGTGCTGTGGCCCGAAACGTCGTGAGAATGAATTTTACCGCCTTATTTGATCAATTCATCATTCTATCCTCGTTCCACGTGGCGGCGACTATACCGAAAGAGCCAAAGGAGATTAATTCCTTGCAGTCACGAAAGCTTTAAATCGAAAAAGAGTCCATTTAATTAAGTAGAACGTGCTGCCTGTATTTTTATTTATAAAGCTGCGCATCTTTATGGTGACGTCACGTTTCTCAAACCCCGCCCCCACCCCCACAAGCCCCGCCCCCCAAAAGCCCCGCCCCCACCCCCCCAGGTGCCTGACGTCATCTATAGACAGTCCCTTACCCCACCATCCCATTCGTCCCTCCCACAAGCCCCGCCCCAAACCCCCGCCCACCCCCACAAAGCCCCGCCCCCACAAGCCCCGCCCACACAAACCCCCCTCCCAGGTGCATGACGTCATCTATGGACGGCCCCGTACCCCACCATCCCATTCGTCCCTCCCACAAGCCCCGCCCCAAACCCCCGCCCACCCCCACAGAGACCCGCCCCCACAAGCCCCGCCCACACAAGCCCCCCTCCCAGGTGCATGACGTCACCTATGGACGGCCCCTTACCCCACCATCCCATTCGTCCCTCCCACAAGCCCCGCCCCACAAGCCCCACCCCCCCCCCCACCCCCCCCCAGGCCCCGCCCCCACCTCTTCTGCACGACGAGGTTGATGTTGCGCAAGGCCACGTACTGCAGCTCCGGCTCGGCCGCCAGCAGCGTCACAAGGGGCGGAGCCAACTTCCTCAGCAGAGTCGCCTGGTACTCCCCGGGGGCGGAGCCTGGGGCCCCGCCCCCCGAGGAGGCCCCGCCCCCCGAGGAGGAGGCCCCGCCCCCCGAGGAGGAGGAGGCCCCGCCCAGGCGGTCGAGGAGATGGATGAGGACCTTGACGGCGGACAGGACCACCGCTGGGTTGGCGTGGGAGAGGCGTGGGGTCACGCGTTCACACACACTGGGGGGGGAGGGGGAGAGGGAGGGAGAGGGAGACACTCGTCACACTCACCTCCATCTCACCACCTCTCCCTGTCTCACTCACACACTCACTCAGTCACTCACTCAGTCACTCACTCACTCAGTCACTCACTCACTCAGTCACTCACTCAGTCACTCACTCAGTCACTCACTCAGTCACTCACACACTCACTCAGTCACTCACTCACTCACACACTCACTCAGTCACTCACACACTCACTCAGTCACTCACTCACTCACACACTCACTCAGTCACTCACTCACTCAGTCACTCACTCAGTCACTCACTCACTCACTAACTCACTCAGTCACTCACTCACTCACTCAGTCACTCACTCACTCACTGTCACTCACTCAGTCACTCACACACCCACCCACTCACTCAGTCACTCACTCACTCAGTCACTCACTCACTCACACACTCACACACTCACTCACCCACCCACTCACTCACTCACACACTCACTCACTCACCCACTCACTCACACACTCACTCAGTCACTCACACACTCACTCACTCACTCACCCACCCACTCACTCACACACTCACTCAGTCACTCACTCACTCACACACTCAGTCACTCACTCACTCAGTCACTCACTCACTCAGTCACTCACTCACTCAGTCACTCACTCACTCAGTCACTCACTCAGTCACTCACTCAGTCACTCACACACTCACTCAGTCACTCACTCAGTCACTCACTCACTCACTCACCCACTCACTCACTCACTCACCTACCCACTCACTCACTCACCCACCCACTCACTCACTCACTCACCTACCCACCCACTCACTCACCCACACACTCACCCACTCACTCACCCACTCACCTACCCACTCACTCACTCACCCACCCACTCACTCACTCACTCACCTACCCACCCACTCACTCACCCACACACTCACCCACTCACTCACCCACTCACTCACCCACACACTCACCCACTCACCCACACACTCACCCACTCACTCACTCACCCACTCACTCACCCACTCACTCACTCACCCACTCACCCACTCACTCACTCAGTCACTCACTCACTCACCCACTCACTCACTCAGTCACTCACTCACTCACTCACCCACTCACTCACCCACTCACTCACTCACTCACCCACTCACTCACTCACTCACCCACCCACCCACTCTCTCACTCACCCACTCACCCACCCACCCACTCACTCACCCACCCACCCACTCACCCACTCTCTCACTCACCCACTCACGTCACTCACCCACCCACCCACTCACCCACCCACCCACCCATTCACTCACCCACCCACTCACATCACTCACCCACCCACCCACTCACTCACCCACCGACTCACTCACTCACCCACTCACCCACTTACTCACCCACCCACCCACTCACCCACCCACTCACCCACCCACCCACCCACTCACTCACCCACCCACTCACTCACCCACCCACCCACCCACTCTCTCACCCACTCACTCACTCACCCACCCACCCACCCACTCTCTCACCCACTCACTCACTCACCCACCCACCCACTCACTCACTCACTCACCCACCCACTCACTCATTCACCCACCCACCCACTCACTCACCCACCCACTCACTCACTCACCCACTCACCCACCCACCCACTCACTCACCCACTCACTCACTCACCCACTCACCCACTCACTCACTCACCCACTCACCCACTCACTCACCCACCCACTCACTCACTCACCCACTCACCCACTCACTCTCTCACCCACCCACCCACCCACCGACTCACCCACTCACTCACCCACCCACCCACCCACTCACTCAGTCACTCACTCACCCACTCACCCACTCACTCACCCACCCACTCACTCACTCACCCACTCACTCACCCACTCACTCTCTCACCCACCCACCCACCCACCGACTCACCCACTCACTCACCCACCCACCCACCCACTCACTCAGTCACTCACTCACTCACTCACCCACTCACCCACCCACACTCACTCACCCACCCACCCACTCACTCACTAACTCACTCACTCACCCATCCATTCACTCACTCACCCACCCACTCACCCACTCACCCACTCACTCACCCACTTACCCACTCACTCACCCACTCACTCACTAACCCACTCACTCACTCAACCACTCACTCACCCACCCACTCACCCTCTCACTCACTAACCCACTCACCTTCTCACTCACTCACTCAACCACTCACTCACCCACCCACTCACTCACTCACCCACCCACTCACTCACCCACCCACCCACTCACCCACCCATTCACTCACTCTCCCACTCACTCACTCACCCAGCCACCCACCCACCCACTCACTCACCCAGCCACCCACTCACTCACCCAGCCACCCACTCACTCACCCACCCACCCACCCACTCACCCACTCACCCACCCACCCACTCACCCACCCACCCACCCACTCACCCACCCACCCACCCACTCACCCACCCACCCACTCACCCACCCACCTCTGTGCCTCCCTCTCGTCCCTGGGCACGTAGGAGGCGAGGCAGTCCAGCATGAACACCTGACCCCACTCACTCACTCAGCCACTCACCCACCCACCCACCCACTCACTCACCCACTCACCCACTCACTCTCTCACCCACTCACTCACCCACTCACTCACTCTCTCACCCACTCACTCACTCACTCACCCACCCACCCACTCACTCACCCACTCACTCACTCACTCTCTCACCCACTCACTCACCCACTCACTCACTCTCTCACCCACTCACTCACTCACTCACCCACCCACCCACCCACTCACTCACTCACTCACCCACTCACTCACCCACTCACCTACTCACTCACTCACCCACTCACTCACTCACTCACCCACTCACTCACTCACCCACTCACTCACTCACTCTCTCACTCACCCACTCACCCACTCACTCACCCACCCACTCACTCACCCACTCACCCACTCACTCACCCACTCACTCACTCACTCACCCACTCACTCTCTCACCCACCCACCCACCCACCGACTCACCCACTCACTCACCCACCCACCCACCCACTCACTCAGTCACTCACTCACCCACTCACCCACTCACTCACCCACTCACTCACTCAGCCACTCACTCAGCCACCAACCCACTCACTAACCCACTCACTCACTCACTCAGTCACCCACTCACTCTCTCACCCACTCACCCACTCACCCACCCACCCACTCACTCTCTCACCCACTCACTCACTCACCCACTCACCCACTCACCCACTCACCCACTCACTCACTCACCTACTCACTCACCCACTCACTCACTCACCCACCCACTCACTCACGCTCTCACTCACCCACCTACTCACTCACCCACTCTCTCACCCACTCTCTCACCCACTCACCCACCCACCCACTCACCCACTCACCCACCCACTCACTCACTCACTCACCCACTCACTCTCTCACCCACCCACTCACTCTCCCACTCACTCACTCACTCACCCACTCACTCTCTCACCCACCCACTCACTCACTCACCCACCCACCCACTCACCCACCCACTCACCCACTCACCCACTCACTCACTCACTCTCTCACCCACTCACCCACCCACCCACTCACCCACCTACCCACCCACCCATCCACCCACCCACCTCTGTGCCTCCCTCTCGTCCCTGGGCACGTAGGAAGCGAGGCAGTCGAGTATGAACACCTGACCCCACCCACTCACCCACTCACTCTCTCACCCACCCACTCACTCACTCACCCACCCACCCACTCACCCACCCACTCACTCACTCACTCAGCCACTCACTCACTCACTCACCCACTCACTCACCCACTCACTCACTCACTCACCCACCCACTCACCCACTCTCTCACTCAGTCACTCACTCACCCACTCACTCACTCACCCACTCACTCTCTCACTCACCCACCTACTCACTCACCCACTCTCTCACCCACTCTCTCACCCACTCACTCACCCACTCACTCACCCACTCACTCACTCACCCACTCACTCACTCACTCTCTCACTCACCCACTCACCCACTCACTCACCCACTCTCTCACTCACCCACTCACCCACCCACCCACTCACTCACCCACCCACTCACTCACCCACTCACCCACTCTCTCACCCACTCACTCACTCACCCACTCACTCACTCACCCACCCACCCACTCACTCACCCACTCACCCACCCACTCACTCAACCACCCACTCACCCACCCACCCACTCACTCACCCACCCACCCACTCACTCACTCACTCACCCACCCACCCACTCACTCACCCACTCACCCACCCACTCACTCACTCACTCACCCACTCACCCACTCACCCACTCACTCACCCACTCACTCACCCACTCACTCACCCACTCACTCACTCACTCACCCACTCACTCACTCACTCACTCTCTCACCCACTCACTCACTCACACACTCACCCACTCACTCACTCTCTCACCCACTCACTCACCCACTCACCCACCCACTCACTCAACCACCCACTCACCCACCCACCCACTCACTCACCCACCCACCCACTCACTCACTCACTCACCCACCCACCCACTCACTCACCCACTCACCCACCCACTCACTCACTCACTCACTCACCCACTCACCCACTCACCCACTCACCCACTCACTCACCCACTCACTCACTCACTCACCCACTCACTCACTCACTCACTCACTCACTCTCTCACCCACTCACTCACTCACACACTCACCCACTCACTCACTCTCTCACCCACTCACTCACTCACTCACACACTCACCCACTCACCCACTCACTCACTCACCCACTCACTCACTCACCCACTCACCCACTCACCCACTCACTCACTCACCTACTCACTCACCCACTCACTCACTCACCCACCCACTCACTCACGCTCTCACTCACCCACCTACTCACTCACCCACTCTCTCACCCACTCTCTCACCCACTCACCCACCCACCCACTCACCCACTCACCCACCCACTCACTCACTCACCCACTCACTCTCTCACCCACCCACTCACTCTCCCACTCACTCACTCACTCACCCACTCACTCTCTCACCCACCCACTCACTCACTCACCCACCCACCCACTCACCCACCCACTCACCCACTCACCCACTCACTCACTCACTCTCTCACCCACTCACCCACCCACCCACTCACCCACCTACCCACCCACCCATCCACCCACCCACCTCTGTGCCTCCCTCTCGTCCCTGGGCACATACGAGGCGAGGCAGTCCAGTATGAACACCTGACCCCACTCACTCACTCACCCACCCACTCACCCACTCACCCACCCACTCACTCACTCACCCACCCACCCACCCACTCACCCACCCACTCACTCACCCACTCACTCACTCACTCACCCACTCACTCACTCACCCACTCACCCACCCACTCACTCACTCACTCTCTCACCCACTCTCTCACCCACTCACCCACTCACTCACCCACCCACTCACCCACCCACCCACTCACCCACCTACCCACCCACCCACCAACCCACCCACCTCTGTGCCTCCCTCTCGTCCCTGGGCACATACGAGGCGAGGCAGTCCAGTATGAACACCTGACCCCACTCACTCACTCACCCACCCACTCACCCACTCACCCACCCACTCACTCACTCACCCACCCACCCACCCACTCACCCACCCACTCACCCACTCACCCACCCACTCACTCACCCACTCACTCACTCACTCACCCACTCACTCACTCACCCACACACCCACCCACTCACTCACTCACTCTCTCACCCACTCTCTCACCCACTCACCCACTCACTCACCCACCCACTCACCCACCCACCCACTCACCCACCTACCCACCCACCCACCAACCCACCCACCTCTGTGCCTCCCTCTCGTCCCTGGGCACGTACGAGGCGAGGCAGTCCAGTATGAACACCTGACCCCACTCCGTGCACTCGTTGAGGGCAGTCAGCAGCTTGCTGGCCGACGCCGGAGTCAGCTCCAGCAGCCGGGCGGCCCCATCGCTGCGGCCGTCTCCAATCTCGCAGAGGGCGGCCACCGCGTTGGACACCACCTGGGGTGGTGGGGGGAGAGGTGGGGAGGGGGAGAGGTGGGGGGGGGGAGAGGTGGGGGGGAGAGGTGGGGGGAGAGGTGGGGGGGAGAGGTGCTCATATGACCACCTGTCACAATCACCACCGCCACTACAATCACCACCACAGCCACAAACACCTCTCACCACCACCGCCACAAACAACACCACCGCCACTATCACCCGTCACCACCTCTCACCACCACTACAAGCACCACCACAACAACAACAACCACAGTCACCACAACAACCACCACCACAACAACCACCACCACAACAACAACCACAACATCCACCACCACAACAACAACCACTACAACAACCACCACCACAACCACCACAACAACAACCACAGTCACCACCACAGTCACCACAGTCACCACAATCACCACAACAACCACCACCACCACCACAGTCACCATAGGGTTGGAGTCAGAGAGGAGGTCTCGCAGCGAGTCCAGGAATCCCTGCTCCTCCACCACAACCACCACAACCACCACAACAACCACAGTCACCACAATCACCACAACCACCACAACCTCACCATGGGGTTGGAGTCAGAGAGGAGGTCTCGCAGCGAGTCCAGGAATCCCTGCTCCTCCACCACAACCACCACCACCACAGTCACACACAGTCACCACAGTCACACACAGTCACCACAGTCACCACAACAACCACCACAATCACCACAATCACCACAGTCACCACCACCACCACAATCACCACAGTCACCATGGGGTTGGAGTCAGAGAGGAGGTCTCGCAGCGAGTCCAGGAATCCCTGCTCCTCCACCACAACCACCACCACCACCACCACAGTCACCACAACAACCACCACAATCACCACAATCACCACAATCACCACAACCACCACAGTCACCACAACAACCACAGTCACCACAATCACCACAATCACCACAGTCACCACAACAACCACAGTCACCACCACCACCACAACCACCACGACCTCACCATGGGGTTGGAGTCAGAGAGGAGGTCTCGCAGCGAGTCCAGGAATCCATGCTCCTCCACCACAACAACCACCACCACCACCACAGTCACCACCACAACAACCACCACCACCACAGTCACACACAGTCACCACAGTCACCACAACAACCACAGTCACCACAGTCACCACAACAACCACAGTCACCACAGTCACCACCACAACAACCACAGTCACCACAGTCACCACCACCACAACCACAGTCACCACCACAACCTCACCATAGGGTTGGAGTCAGAGAGGAGGTCTCGCAGCGAGTCCAGGAATCCCTGCTCCTCCACCACCACAACCACCACCACCACCACAGTCACCACCACAACCACCACCACCACCACAGTCACACACAGTCACCACAATCACCACAACAACAACCACAATCACCACAGTCACCATAGGGTTGGAGTCAGAGAGGTCTCGCAGCGAGTCCAGGAATCCCTGCTCCTCCACCACAACCACAACCACCACAGTCACCACCACAATCACCACAATCACCACAACCACCACGAACTCACCATGGGGTTGGAGTCAGAGAGGAGGTCTCGCAGCGAGTCCAGGAATCCCTGCTCCTCCACCACCACCACCACCACAGTCACCACCACAGTCACCACCACAACAACCACCACAACCACCACAGTCACCATAGGGTTGGAGTCAGAGAGGAGGTCTCGCAGCGAGTCCAGGAATCCCTGCTCCTCCACCACAACCACAACAACCACAACCACCACAACCACCACAACAACCACAGTCACCACAATCACCACAGTCACCACCACCACCACACCACCACCACGAACTCACCATAGGGTTCGAGTCAGAGAGGAGGTCTCGCAGCGAGTCCAGGAATCCCTGCTCCTCCAACACAACCACCACAACAACCACAACCACCACAACAACCACCACAACCACAACCACCACAGTCACCACCACAGTCACCACCACAGTCACAACCTCACCATGGGGTTGGAGTCAGAGAGGAGGTCTCGCAGCGAGTCCAGGAATCCCTGCTCCTCCACCACAACCACAACCACCACAATCACCACAACAATCACCACAACCACCACGACCTCACCATGGGGTTGGAGTCAGAGAGGAGGTCTCGCAGCGAGTCCAGGAATCCCTGCTCCTCCACCACCACCACAACCACCACCACAATCACCACAATCACCACAACAATCACCACAACCACCAGCGACTCACCATAGGGTTGGAGTCAGAGAGGGGGTCTCGCAGCGAGTCCAGGAATCCCTGCTCCTCCACCACAGTCACCACAATCACCACCACCACCACAGTCACACACAGTCACCACCACAGTCACCACCACAGTCACAACCTCACCATGGGGTTGGAGTCAGAGAGGAGGTCTCGCAGCGAGTCCAGGAATCCCTGCTCCTCCACCACAACCACCACAGTCACACACAGTCACCACAGTCACACACAGTCACCACAATCACCACAATCACCACAGTCACCATAGGGTTGGAGTCAGAGAGGAGGTCTCGCAGCGAGTCCAGGAATCCCTGCTCCTCCACCACAACCACCACCACCACCACAGTCACCACAATCACCACAGTCACCACAACAACCACAGTCACCACAATCACCACAATCACCACAATCACCACAACAACCACCACAGTCACCACAGTCACCACAGTCACCATGGGGTTGGAGTCAGAGAGGAGGTCTCGCAGCGAGTCCAGGAATCCCTGCTCCTCCACCACAACCACCACAACCACCACAACAACCACAGTCACCACAGTCACCACAACAACCACAATCACCACAATCACCACAATCACCACAACAACCACCACAGTCACCACAGTCACCATAGGGTTGGAGTCAGAGAGGAGGTCTCGCAGCGAGTCCAGGAATCCCTGCTCCTCCACCACAACCACCACAGTCACACACAGTCACCACAGTCACACACAGTCACCACAATCACCACAATCACCACAGTCACCATAGGGTTGGAGTCAGAGAGGAGGTCTCGCAGCGAGTCCAGGAATCCCTGCTCCTCCACCACAACCACCACCACCACCACAGTCACCACAATCACCACAGTCACCACAACAACCACAGTCACCACAATCACCACAATCACCACAATCACCACAACAACCACCACAGTCACCACAGTCACCATGGGGTTGGAGTCAGAGAGGAGGTCTCGCAGCGAGTCCAGGAATCCCTGCTCCTCCACCACAACCACCACCACCACCACAACCACCACCACCACAATCACCACAACAACCACCACAGTCACCACAGTCACCATAGGGTTGGAGTCAGAGAGGAGGTCTCGCAGCGAGTCCAGGAATCCCTGCTCCTCCACCACAACCACAACAACCACAACCACCACAACCACCACAACCACCACAACAACCACAGTCACCACAATCACCACAGTCACCACAACAACCACAGTCACCACCACCACCACACCACCACCACGAACTCACCATAGGGTTCGAGTCAGAGAGGAGGTCTCGCAGCGAGTCCAGGAATCCCTGCTCCTCCAACACAACCACCACAACAACCACAACCACCACAACAACCACCACAACCACAACCACCACAGTCACCACCACAGTCACCACCACAGTCACAACCTCACCATGGGGTTGGAGTCAGAGAGGAGGTCTCGCAGCGAGTCCAGGAATCCCTGCTCCTCCACCACAACCACCACAGTCACACACAGTCACCACAGTCACACACAGTCACCACAATCACCACAATCACCACAGTCACCATAGGGTTGGAGTCAGAGAGGAGGTCTCGCAGCGAGTCCAGGAATCCCTGCTCCTCCACCACAACCACCACCACCACCACAACCACCACCACCACAATCACCACAACAACCACCACAGTCACCACAGTCACCATAGGGTTGGAGTCAGAGAGGAGGTCTCGCAGCGAGTCCAGGAATCCCTGCTCCTCCACCACCACCACCACCACAGTCACCACCACAGTCACCACCACAACAACCACCACAACCACCACAGTCACCATGGGGTTGGAGTCAGAGAGGAGGTCTCGCAGCGAGTCCAGGAATCCCTGCTCCTCCACCACAACCACCACCACCACAACCACCACAACAATCACCACAGTCACCACCACAACCTCACCATGGGGTTGGAGTCAGAGAGGAGGTCTCGCAGCGAGTCCAGGAATCCCTGCTCCTCCACCACCACCACCACCACAGTCACCACAATCACCACAATCACCACAACAACCACCACAGTCACCACCACAGTCACCATAGGGTTGGAGTCAGAGAGGAGGTCTCGCAGCGAGTCCAGGAATCCCTGCTCCTCCACCACAACCACAACAACCACCACAACCACAACAACCACCACAACCACCACAATCACCACAACAACCACCACAGTCACCACGAACTCACCATGGGGTTGGAGTCAGAGAGGAGGTCTCACAGCGAGTCCAGGAATCCCTGCTCCTCCACCACAACCACCACCACCACAGTCACCACAGTCACCACCACAGTCACCACCACAGTCACCATGGGGTTGGAGTCAGAGAGGAGGTCTCGCAGCGAGTCCAGGAATCCCTGCTCCTCCACCACAACCACCACCACAACCACAACCACCACCACCACCACCACAACAACCACCACAACCACCACAATCACCACAACAACCACCACAGTCACCACGAACTCACCATGGGGTTGGAGTCAGAGAGGAGGTCTCGCAGCGAGTCCAGGAATCCCTGCTCCTCCACCACAACCACCACAACCACCACCACAATCACCACAGTCACCACCACAGTCACCACCACGACCTCACCATGGGGTTGGAGTCAGAGAGGAGGTCTCGCAGCGAGTCCAGGAATCCCTGCTCCTCCACCACAACCACCACAGTCACCACAATCACCACAACAACCACAGTCACCACCACAGTCACCACAACAACCAGCGACTCACCATGGGGTTGGAGTCAGAGAGGAGGTCTCGCAGCGAGTCCAGGAATCCCTGCTCCTCTACCACAGTCACCACAATCACCACAACCACCACAGTCACCACCACAGTCACCACCACCACAGTCACCATGGGGTTGGAGTCAGAGAGGAGGTCTCGCAGCGAGTCCAGGAATCCCTGCTCCTCCACCACAACCACCACCACAACCACAGTCACACACAGTCACCACAACAACCAGCGACTCACCATGGGGTTGGAGTCAGAGAGGAGGTCTCGCAGCGAGTCCAGGAATCCCTGCTCCTCCACCACAACCACCACCACCACCACAACCACCACCACCACAATCACCACAACAACCACCACAGTCACCACAGTCACCATAGGGTTGGAGTCAGAGAGGAGGTCTCGCAGCGAGTCCAGGAATCCCTGCTCCTCCACCACCACCACCACCACAGTCACCACCACAGTCACCACCACAACAACCACCACAACCACCACAGTCACCATGGGGTTGGAGTCAGAGAGGAGGTCTCGCAGCGAGTCCAGGAATCCCTGCTCCTCCACCACAACCACCACCACCACAACCACCACAACAATCACCACAGTCACCACCACAACCTCACCATGGGGTTGGAGTCAGAGAGGAGGTCTCGCAGCGAGTCCAGGAATCCCTGCTCCTCCACCACCACCACCACCACAGTCACCACAATCACCACAATCACCACAACAACCACCACAGTCACCACCACAGTCACCATAGGGTTGGAGTCAGAGAGGAGGTCTCGCAGCGAGTCCAGGAATCCCTGCTCCTCCACCACAACCACAACAACCACCACAACCACAACAACCACCACAACCACCACAATCACCACAACAACCACCACAGTCACCACGAACTCACCATGGGGTTGGAGTCAGAGAGGAGGTCTCGCAGCGAGTCCAGGAATCCCTGCTCCTCCACCACAACCACCACCACCACAGTCACCACAGTCACCACCACAGTCACCACCACAGTCACCATGGGGTTGGAGTCAGAGAGGTCTCGCAGCGAGTCCAGGAATCCCTGCTCCTCCACCACAACCACCACCACAACCACAACCACCACCACCACCACAACCACAACAACCACCACAACCACCACAATCACCACAACAACCACCACAGTCACCACGAACTCACCATGGGGTTGGAGTCAGAGAGGAGGTCTCGCAGCGAGTCCAGGAATCCCTGCTCCTCCACCACAACCACCACAACCACCACCACAATCACCACAGTCACCACCACAGTCACCACCACAGTCACCACCACGACCTCACCATGGGGTTGGAGTCAGAGAGGAGGTCTCGCAGCGAGTCCAGGAATCCCTGCTCCTCCACCACCACCACCACCACAACCACCACAGTCACCACAACCACCACAGTCACCACAACAACCACAACAGTCACCACCACCACCACCACAGTCACCACAATCACCACAGTCACCATGGGGTTGGAGTCAGAGAGGAGGTCTCGCAGCGAGTCCAGGAATCCCTGCTCCTCCACCACAACCACCACCACCACAGTCACCACCACAGTCACCACCACAGTCACCATAGGGTTGGAGTCAGAGAGGAGGTCTCGCAGCGAGTCCAGGAATCCCTGCTCCTCCACCACAACCACCACAGTCACCACCACAGTCACCACAACCTCACCATGGGGTTGGAGTCAGAGAGGAGGTCTCGCAGCGAGTCCAGGAATCCCTGCTCCTCCACCACCACCACCACAGTCACCACAATCACCACAATCACCACCACAGTCACCACAATCACCACGACCTCACCATGGGGTTGGAGTCAGAGAGGAGGTCTCGCAGCGAGTCCAGGAATCCCTGCTCCTCCACAACCACCACCACAATCACCACAATCACCACAACAACCACCACAGTCACCACAACCTCACCATGGGGTTGGAGTCAGAGAGGAGGTCTCGCAGCGAGTCCAGGAATCCCTGCTCCTCCACCACAACCACCACAACCACCACAGTCACACACAGTCACCACAACAACCAGCGACTCACCATGGGGTTGGAGTCAGAGAGGAGGTCTCGCAGCGAGTCCAGGAATCCCTGCTCCTCCACCACAACCACCACAACAACCACAACCACAACCACCACAACCACCACCACCACCACCACAGTCACCACAATCACCACAACCACCACCACAGTCACCATGGGGTTGGAGTCAGAGAGGAGGTCTCGCAGCGAGTCCAGGAATCCCTGCTCCTCCACCACAACCACCACAACAACCACAACCACAACCACCACAACCACCACCACCACCACCACAGTCACCACAATCACCACAACAACCAGCGACTCACCATGGGGTTGGAGTCAGAGAGGAGGTCTCGCAGCGAGTCCAGGAATCCCTGCTCCTCCACCACAACCACCACAACCACCACCACCACCACCACCACAACCACAGTCACCACCACAGTCACCACCACAGTCACCATGGGGTTGGAGTCAGAGAGGAGGTCTCGCAGCGAGTCCAGGAATCCCTGCTCCTCCACCACAACCACCACAGTCACACACAGTCACCACAACAACCACAGTCACCACAATCACCACAACAACCACAACAGTCACCACCACCACCACCACAATCACCACAACAACCACCACAGTCACCATAGGGTTGGAGTCAGAGAGGAGGTCTCGCAGCGAGTCCAGGAATCCCTGCTCCTCCACCACCACCACCACCACAACCACCACCACCACCACCACCACGAACTCACCATGGGGTTGGAGTCAGAGAGGAGGTCTCGCAGCGAGTCCAGGAATCCCTGCTCCTCCACCACAACCACCACCACCACCACAACCACAGTCACCACAACCACCACAGTCACCACAGTCACCATGGGGTTGGAGTCAGAGAGGAGGTCTCGCAGCGAGTCCAGGAATCCCTGCTCCTCCACCACCACCACCACAATCACACACAGTCACCACAACAACCAGCGACTCACCATGGGGTTGGAGTCAGAGAGGAGGTCTCGCAGCGAGTCCAGGAATCCCTGCTCCTCCACGAGGCCGGCGCTGATGTCGTGTAGCTTGGCCACGCAGACTGCCGCCGTCTTGCGCACGTAGGGGTCCTCGTCACGCAGGCAGCGTCGGAGAGGCTCGCACAGGTACTCCGTGATCTTGTCCACACGGATACAGCCCATCGTCCGCACCGCCAGAGCACGGATCAGCGGATTGGGGTCCTCGCAGTCCTGCGGGGGAGTGGTGTTGTGGGCGAGGGAGGGTTGGGGGAAGGTTGGGGGAGTGAGCGAGTGAGTGATAGAGAGAGAGAGGGTGAGAGGGAGTGTGAGAGAGAGAGTGAGTGAGAGAGAGAGTGAGTGAGAGAGTGAGAGAGTGAGTGAGAGAGTGAGAGAGAGTGAGCGAGTGAGCGAGAGAGAGTGGGTGAGTGTGAGAGTGAGAGAGAGTGAGTGAGAGAGGTTGAGAGAGAGAGAGTGAGTGACAGAGAGAGAGTGAGTGAGCGAGTGAGAGAGAGAGAGAGAGTGAGTGAGTGAGCGGGCGGAAGAGTGAGAGAGCATGGGTGAGAGGGTGAGTGTGAGCGAGTGAGCGAGTGAGAGAGAGAGAGTGAGTGAGTGAGAGAGAGTGAGAGTGTGAGTGAGAGTGAGAGAGTGAGTGAGAGAGTGAGTGAGAGAGAGCGAGTGAGAGAGAGAGAGTGTGAGAGAGGGAGTGGGTGAGCGAGTGAGCGAGAGAGAGTGAGTGAGAGGGTGAGCGAGTGAGTGAGCGAGCGAGCGAGTGAGAGAGTGGGTGAGAGGGCGGACGAGTGAGTGAGCGAGCGAGCGGGCGGAAGAGTGAGAGAGTGAGCGAGTGAGAGGGTGAGTGAGAGAGCGAGTGAGCGAGTGAGTGAGAGAGTGAGGGTGAGTGTGAGAGAGTGAGTGAGAGAGTGAGTGAGAGAGTGAATGAGAGTTTGAGAGAGTGAGAGAGTGAGTGAGTGAGCGAGTGAGTGAGCGAGAGGGTGAGCGAGAGGGTGAGCGAGCGAGAGGGTGAGCGAGCGAGAGGGTGAGCGAGCGAGGGAGTGAGGGAGTGACAGAGTGAGTGAGCGCGTGAGCGAGCGGATGAGCGAGAGGGTGATCGAGAGGGTGAGCGAGCGAGAGGGTGAGCGAGTGAGGGAGTGAGTGAGTGACAGAGTGAGTGAGCGCGTGAGCGAGCGGATGAGCGAGAGGGTGAGCGAGCGAGAGGGTGAGCGAGTGAGTGAGTGAGTGACAGAGTGAGTGAGTGACAGAGTGAGTGAGCGGGCGAGCGGGTGAGCGAGAGGGTGAGCGAGAGGGTGAGCGAGAGGGTGAGCGAGCGGGTGAGCTAGTGAGTGAGCGAAAGAGTGAGTGAGCAAGTGAGCGAGCGAGAGGGTGAGCGAGCGGGTGAGCGAGCGGGTGAGCGAGTGAGTGAGCGAGAGAGTGAGTGAGCGAGTGAGAGGGTGAGCGAGAGGGTGAGCGAGAGAGTGAGTGAGCGAGAGGGTGAGCGAGCGAGCAAATGACCAGGCGAGTGATAACTCCGTGACCTCGTCCACGCACATACACACACACAGACACACGCACACACACACACAGACACACAGACACACGCACACACAGACACAGACACACGCACACACAGACACAGACACACACACACACAGACACACACAGACACACAATTCACACACACAGACACACAATTCACACACACAGACACACACACACACACAGACACACAGACACACACACAGGCACGGGGCTCCAGCACCTTGACGAAGGTGTTGACTGCCATGATGGCCATGTCAGGTTGGCTCTTGGCGTAGTTCATGAGGTACAGGTACACCAACTTCTTCAGCTCCAGGTTGTCCGTCTGCATGCAGTTGACCACGTCGGGAAAGAGGGCGCTGCACACACACACACACACACGGAGAGGCATCACACACACACACACAGACACACACACATACATACAGACACACATACACACGGAGAGCACGGAGAGGCATCACACACACACACAGACACACACACACAAACACACACACGGACAAACACACACAGACACACAGACACACACAAACACACACACATACACACAGACACACACAGACACACACAAACACACACATACATACACACACATACACACACACACACACAAACACACACACACACAAACACACACACACAAACACACACACACACACACAGACATACACACACAGACACACACAAACACACACATACACACAGACACACACACAAACACACACACACAGAGACACAGACACATACATACACACACACATACACACAGACACACACAACAACAACCGCCATTCGCCACTAAGTGGCGGTGACGTCACCATGACACTTGTGCCAGGCCATGTTCACCTTGAGGCCACGTGAAGTGTCGAACGCCCGCCGGCAGGAGGTCACGGGGCAGACCCAGCAGGTGCCACGGGTCGACTGACTGAGATGAGTGGCTGATGCACCACCTGTGCCCCCTACTGTGCCAACCTGCTGTGCTTTAGCCACCCGGCGCTCCGCTCGTTGTTGTGAGCGTCGCTCCTCCGCCCTCCATTGTTGTTGGAGGGCGACTACCTCCAACTGCCCAGTAGCAGCATCCTTCACGAGCCTCCTCCACAGAGGCCGATCTTGACACCGCTGGTACCGGTCATCGGCAAGTCCACTCAGCTCCACGTCCTCCTGTACCACATCACTCCATCTCTTCTCTAGCCCGTGCCGCGCCCATTTAGCCCCCTCTATCTGGCAGAACAAAAGCTGTTTCGGCATGCGGTGGCTGGGCATGCGGGCTACATGACCCAGCCAACGCAGCCTTGCCTGCCGGAGGAGCTCACCAATAGGACCTTGCCCAGATCTTTCAAGGATTTGTGAGCTCCTCACACAATCCAGCCTGATTAAACCCAGCATGGATTGTAGGCAGGCCAGTCTAAATGTTTCTAACCGGCGAAGATGTTCCATTAAGGGGGTCCACATTTCGTAAGCGTAGAGAAGGGAGGGAATGACCGTGGCCGAGAAAACCTGAAGCTTAGTGCGGAGCGACAGACCAGGTAGCTTCCACACAGCGTTACGCAACCGATGAAAAGATATTGCCGCTCGACTGATTCGGAGTGAGACCTCTGCTGTTAAACTGGAGCCAGTCATAAGCACACTGCCCAGGTATGGGAAACTCTCCACTCTCTCCACAACTGCCCCATCACCGATTGGGAGTTGTGGGGGTGGAGTGTCCGATGGTACAAAATACCCAGGCAGGTGCTTAGTTTTGGTGGGGCTGATGGTAAGGCCCCACCTCTTAGTGGCACGCTCCAGTCTCAGCAGCAGCGTCTCCAACTCCTCCTCTGACTGAGCAGCTATTACCAAGTCATCAGCATACATAACGTGGTTGAGCAATAGGGAGCCATCCCTTGACCGCACCCGGGCATCGATTAGCCTCCCATTATATCTGTACCATATGGAGATTCCCCCGGTACAGCTATTGAAGGCTTCACGAACTACGTGGTCAAAATAGATGTTAAATAATGTGGGAGCCAGAGGACATCCCTGTCGCACCCCAAGGTGTACAGGGAATGGCTCTGACTCCCGGCCACGTAGTTTTACCCGGGCCCGCTCACCATCATGAAGGTCCTTAATGATCGTGAGCAGAGGGTCAGGTACTCCAAAAGCACGAAGAACGACCCAGAGCCCAGGCCTACTGATGGTATCATAGGCCTTGACCAGGTCAATAAAGCAGAGATGTAGGTCTTGTTGGAATTCCCTACACCTCTGCTGTAGCAGACGGACAGAAAATATGGCATCTGTGCAGGACCGCCCTTTCCTGAAACCACATTGGGGCTCCGCAAGCCTCTCCTCAGCGTGCCTGGCAAGGCGATGCTGAATAATCCTTGCCAGGACCTTTCCCGGCACACTGAGGAGTGAGATGCCCCTGTAGTTGTTACAGTCTGTGCGGTCCCCCTTCTTAAAAAGGGGGACCACCAGGGCATCCTTCCAATCCTGCGGAACCCGTCCAGTGGTCCAGACTGTTGTTATGATGTCATATAGGGCAGTCTGTGCACAAACGCCACCCTCCTTCAGCATTTTGCTTGGGAGATCATCTCTGCCCGCTGCCTTTCCTGGTCTCAGACTCCAGATCGCCTTCAATACTTCCTCAGCAGATGGCACCTCAGCCAGCCACTCACAGGGGGTGACTTCATCCAATATTTGAGGCACCGCAGCCTCAGCAGGGTCATCCTCACTTTGTGCCACGATGTTTTCCTGGCTGAGGGATTTTCCCTCCCCCAGGACCTCACAGAAATGCTCAGCAAATCTGCGAACCTGTTCCTGGGGGTCGGAAATTGGATCACCGTTTTTTCCCCTAATGATGGTAATAGGTGTGGCGCTGCAGGTTACTTTTTTGATGGAGTTAAATAGAGATTTGTGATCACGGGCCACTGAGGCAGACTCCATCTCCTCAGCAACCCGCGACCACCACCCATCCTTGCAGCGCCTCACGGCTCTCCGAACCTCCGAGCGAAGGCTGCGGTAAGCCTCCTCATTCTCTGACGTGGGATTCTGTAGCCGATGACAGTGGGCCTGTCGCTTTTTCTCAACCATCGTGAACAACTCCTCTGTCATCCAGGGTGTCTGGGGAGGTCTGGACCGCGTACCCAAAGCAGCCATTGCAGCTGCATGAGTCACAGTCCTAAACCTCGCCCATTTACCCTCGACATCAGGAGGAGTCGGGGACGATACCAATCCCAGCCGCAAGCGATGATGAAATTCTCGCTTGCAACTTTCATCAGATAACTGAGACCAGGCCACTTTAGGTTGGAATGGGGTCCTGGGTGTACACCCACCACCGGAGTGGAAGAATGGCAGGCGCATCTTACAGATGACTAGTCGATGGTCAGAGGGCAGATCAGCTCCACGGTAGGTCCTGGTGTCAAGGACATGGGCTCGCATTCGCTGGTCCGTCACTATGTAGTCCAGCAGATGTTCTTGCTTGGACCCGGCATGCATCCATGATGTTGTGTGGATGCGCCGATGCCGGAACAGCGTGTTGGTAATTACAAGCCCATGGGCTGCACAAAAATCTAGCAGCCTCCTACCGTTGTTATTGAGCTGATCTGGCCCATGCCCTCCAATCACTCCAGACCAGGTGCCAGTATCATGACCAACTCGGGCATTGAAGTCACCCAACATGATGACTCTATCCCGAGGGGCCACTTTAGCCAGCACCTGTGACAGGAGGTCATAGAAGGCATCTGACTCATCGGCTTTGCCTGCATCCCTCCACGGATGTTCATCTTCGGTGGGGGCATAAGTAACCACGACCACCATTCCTCGCCTCCGGTTGATGGGAAGGCGAGCCCAAAGTAGCCTGGGGCTTACAGCTTCCCACACCTCACCGCCACGCTCCCACGCCCCCTTCATTCTTTTGTTCAAAAGAAGACCCACACCCTGTTGTTTGGCAGTCTGCTGCCCCGAGTAGAGGACTGTCCACCCCTCATGGTGGCAGGAGCCAGAGCCGGTCCACCGGACCTCCTGAATGCCGCATAGATCCAGGCGGTACCGGTCCAGCTCCCGACAGAGGAGTGGCAGCCTCTCCTCCGCAGTGAGCGTTCGAACATTCCACGTGGCCAACCGTAGTGGCTTTTCGTTGTTTCTGGAGTAGCCCCGAGGGTAGGTATTCAATCTCCTGGCTCCGCCAATTGGGGTTTGGCCAGGAGACGTCATAGACGCCTGGCCCCCCGGGGCCTCCGGCACAAGCTTAGTTGTTACATATTTCAGTTTAATTCGTAGTTTCGTGGTAATTAATTGAAGGTGGAGGGGTTACCAGCCCCTCGCACCCGTCCAGAGCCCCCGTTTAGCCCCTGTGGTGGACACATATGCCATGAGGGGAGGAGCCAATCAAAATTGGATCTCCCCCCACAGCGCTATCCACGACAGAGTTGCCCGTCCGGCACACACAGACACACACGCAGACACACACACAGACACACACACAGACACACAGACACACACACAGACACACACACACAGACACACACACACAGACACACACACACACACAGACACACACACACACAGACACACACACACAGACACACACACACACAGACACACACACACACAGACACACACACACACACACACAGACACACACACACAGACACAAACACACACAGACACACACACACACACAGACACACACACACAGACACACACACACACAGACAAACACAGGCACACACACACAGGCACACACACACACACACACACAGACACACACACACACACAGAGACACACACACACAGACACACACAGACACACACACAGAGACACACACACACAGACACACACAGACACACACACAGACACACACACACACACAGACACAGACAAACACAGGCACACACACACACATACAGACACACACACACAGACACACACACACAGACACACACACACAGACACACACACACACACAGACACACACACACAGACACACACACACACACACAGACACACACACACACACACAGACACACACACACACAGAGACACACACAGAGACACACAGACACACAGAGACACACAGACACACACACACAGAGACACACACACACAGAGACACACACACACAGAGACACACACACACAGACACACACACACACAGACACACACACAGACACACACAGACACACACAGACACACAGACACACACAACAACAACAACAACCGCCATTCGCCACTAAGTGGCGGTGACGTCACCACGACGCTTGTGCCAGGCTATGTGCACCCTGAGGCCACGTGAAGTGTCGAACGCCCGCTGGCAGGAGGTCACGGGGCAGACCCAGGTGCCACGGGTCGACTGACTGAGATGACTGGCTGATGCACCACCTGTGCCCCCTACTGTGCCAACCTGCTGTGCTTTAGCCACCCGGCGCTCCGCTCGCTGTTGTGAGCATCGCTCCTCCGCCCTCCGTTGTTGTTGGAGGGCGACTGCCTCCAACTGCCCAGTAGCATCCTTCACGAGCCTCCTCCACAGAGGCCGATCTTGACACCGCTGGTACCAGTCATCGGCAAGTCCACTCAGCTCCACGTCCTCCTGTACCACATCACTCCATCTCTTCTCTAGCCCGTGCCGCGCCCGCTTAGCCCCCTCAATCCGGCCAAACAAAAGCTGTTTCGGCATGCGGTGGCTGGGCATGCCGGCTACATGACCCAGCCATCGCAGCCTTGCCTGCCGGAGGAGCTCACCGATGGGACCCTGCCCAGATCTTTCAAGGATTTGTGAGCTCCTCACACAATCCAGTCTGGTTAAACCCAGGATGGATCGTAGGCAGGTCAGCCTAAATGTTTCTAACCGGCGAAGATGTTCCATTAGGGGGGTCCACGTTTCGCAAGCGTAGAGAAGGGAGGGAATGACCGTGGCCGAGAAGACCTGAAGCTTAGTGCGGAGCGACAGACCAGGTAGCTTCCACACAGCGTTACGCAACCGATGAAAAGATATTGCCGCTCGACTGATTCGGAGTGAGACCTCTGCTGTTAAACTGGAGCCAGTCATAAGCACACTGCCCAGGTATGGGAAACTCTCCACTCTCTCCACAACTGCCCCATCACCGATTGGGAGTTGTGGGGGTGGAGTGTCCGATGGTACAAAATACCCAGGTAGGTGCTTAGTTTTGGTGGGGCTGATGGTAAGGCCCCACCTCTTAGTGGCACGCTCCAGTCTCAGCAGCAGCGTCTCCAACTCCTCCTCTGACTGAGCAGCTATTACCAAGTCATCAGCATACATAACGTGGTTGAGCAATAGGGAGCCATCCCTTGACCGCACCCGGGCATCGATTAGCCTCCCATTATATCTGTACCATATGGAGATTCCCCCGGTACAGCTATTGAAGGCTTCACGAACTACGTGGTCAAAATAGATGTTAAATAATGTGGGAGCCAGAGGACATCCCTGTCGCACCCCAAGGTGTACAGGGAATGGCTCTGACTCCCGGCCACGTAGTTTTACCCGGGCCCGCTCACCATCATGAAGGTCCTTAATGATCGTGAGCAGAGGGTCAGGTACTCCAAAAGCACGAAGAACGACCCAGAGCCCAGGCCTACTGATGGTATCATAGGCCTTGACCAGGTCAATAAAGCAGAGATGTAGGTCTAGTTGGAATTCCCTACACCTCTGCTGTAGCAGACGGACAGAAAATATGGCATCTGTGCAAGACCGCCCTTTCCTGAAACCGCATTGGGGCTCCGCAAGCCTCTCCTCAGCGTGCCTGGCAAGGCGATGCTGAATAATCCTTGCCAGGACCTTTCCCGGCACACTGAGGAGTGAGATGCCCCTGTAGTTGTTACAGTCTGTGCGGTCCCCCTTCTTAAAAAGGGGGACCACCAGGGCATCCTTCCAATCCTGCGGAACCCGTCCAGTGGTCCAGACTGTTGTTATGATGTCATATAGGGCAGTCTGTGCACAAACGCCACCCTCCCTCAGCATTTCGCTTGGGAGATCATCTCTGCCCGGTGCATTTCCTGGTCTCAGACTCCGGATCGCCTTCAGTACTTCCTCAACAGATGGCACACACAGACACACACAGACACACACAGACACACACACAGACACAGACACACACACACACAGACACACACACAGACACACACACACACACACAGACACACACAGACACACACAGACACACACACACACAGACACACACACAGACACACACACCCCCACCTGACGTCCTTGCCGACTGTCATGGACGCGATGACTTTCTTGACGGCCTCCTTTTTCCTCTCCTTCTTCTCACTGCCCAACTCCGCCTTGAGCTCAAACATCTCCCCTGTGACACGCACAGCACCACCACCACTACTATAGTACTACACTATACACTTCACTATACACTACTCTATACACTACACTATACACTACAATATACACTAATACACTACACTATACACTACTACTTACTATACTACTACTACACTCAAACATCTCGCCTGTGACACGCACAGCACCACCACCACTACTATAGTACTACACTATACACTACACTCACTATACACTACACTATACACTAATACACTACTACACTACACTATACACTACTACACTCACTATACACTACTACTACTACACTATACACTACTACTATACACTACTACACTATACACTACTACTACACTATACACTACTACACTACTACACTCAAACATCTCGCCTGTGACACGCACAGCACCACCACCACTACTATAGTACTACACTATACACTACACTCACTATACACTACACTATACACTACTACTACACTATACACTACTACTACACTATACACTACTACTACACTACTACACTCAAACATCTCCCCTGTGACACGCACAGCACCACCACCACTACTATAGTACTATACTATACACTACTACACTACACTATACACTACACTATACACTACACTATACACTACTACAATACACACTACACTACTACTACACTAATACACCCAAACATCTCCCCTGTGACACGCACAGCACCATCACCACTACTATAGTACTATACTATACACTACACTATACACTACACTATACACTACACTATACACTACACTATACACTACACACTACTCTACACTATACACTACTACACTATACACTACTACTATACTATACACTACTACTATACTACTACACTATACACTACTACACTATACACTACTACTATACTATACACTACTACTATACTACTACACTACTAAACTACACTACTACACTCAAACTTCTCCCCTGTGACACGCACAGCACCACCACCACTACTATAGTACTATACCATACACTACTACTACACTACTACACTACACTCACTACTACACTATACACTACTACACTATACACAATACACTACTACTACACTATACACTACTACTACACTACACTATACACTACTACACTATACACTACTACTACACTACTACTACACTATACACTACTACTACTACTACACTACTATACTATACACTACTACACTATACACTACTACTACACTACTACACTCAAACATCTCCCCCGTGACACGCACAGCACCACCACCACTACTATAGTACTATACTATACACTACACTATACACTACACTATACACTACACTATACACTACTACTACACTATACACTACACTATACACTACACTATACACTACACTATACACTACTACTACACTATACACTACACTATACACTACACTACTACATACTACACTATACACTACTACACTATACTATACACTACTACACTCAAACATCTCCCCTGTGACACGCACAGCACCACCACCACTACTATAGTACTATACTATATACTATACTATACACTACTACACTAATACACTATACTATACACTACTACACTACACTATACACTACTACTACACTGATACACTACACTATACACTACTACACTACACTATACACTACTACTACACTCAAAAATCTCCCGTGACACGCACAGCACCACCACTACTACTATAGTACTACACTATACACTACACACTACTACATACTACACTATACACTACTACTACACTATACACTACACTATACACTACTACATACTACACTATACACTACTACTACACTATACACTACACTACTACACTAATACACTACTACATACTACACTATACACTACTACTACACTATACACTACACTACTACACTAATACACTACTACATACTACACTATACACTACTACTACACTATACACTACTACACTATACACTACTACACTATACACTACTACTACACTACTACACTCAAACACCTCCCCTGTGACACGCACAGCACCACCACTACTTACTATACTACTACACTATACACTACTACACTATACACTACTACACTATACACTACACTAATACACTACACTATACACTACTACACTACAACATCTCCCCTGTAACACGCACAGTACCACCACTACTCACTATACTACTACACTATACACTACACTATACACTACTACTACACTATACACTACTACTACAATACACACTATACACTACTACACTCGCTATACACTACTACTACACTATACACTACTACTACAATATACACTACTACACTATACACTACTACACTCGCTATACACTACTACTACACTAATACACTCACTATACACTACACTACTACACTCACTATACACTATACACTACTACACTATACACTACTACACTATACACTACTACACTATACACTACTACACTATACACTACCACACTATACACTACTACACTCGCTATACACTACTACTACACTCACTATACACTACACTACTACACTCACTATACACTACTACACTCAAACATCTCCCCTGTGACATGCACAGCACCACCACTACTATACACTACATTATACACTACTACATACTACACTCACACTCACTATACACTACTAAACTCACTATACACTACTACTACACTACTTACTATAGTACTACACTATACACTACTACACTACACTATACACTACTACACTCAAACATCTCCCCTGTGACATGCACAGCACCACCACTACTATACACTACATTATACACTACTACATACTACACTCACACTCACTATACACTACTAAACTCACTATACACTACTACTACACTACTTACTATAGTACTACACTATACACTACTACACTACACTATACACTACTACTACACTCAAACATCTCCCCTGTGACACGCACAGCACCACCACTACTTACTATACTACTACTACACTACACTATACACTACTATACACTACTACTACACTAATACACTCACTATACACTACTACACTATACACTACACTATACACTACTACTACATACTACACTACTACACCACTATACTACACACACTATACACTACTACACACTACTACACTCACTAAACACTACACTACTACTACACTACTACACTCACTATACACTACTACTACACTACTACTACTACACTACTACACTCACTATACACTACACTACTACTGCACTAATACACTCACTATACACTACTACACTCAAACATCTCCCCTGTGACACACACAGCACCACCACTACTTACTATAGTACTACACTACTACTACACTATACACTACTACTACACTACACTCACTATACACTACTACTACACTACACTCACTATACACTACTACTACTACACTCACTATACACTACTACACTCACTACACACTACTACTACACTACTACACTCAAACATCTCCCCTGTGACACGCACAGCACCACCACCACTACTATAGTACTATACTATACACTACACTATACACTAATACACTACTACACTACACTATACACTACTACTACACTATACACTACTACTACACTATACACTACTACACTGAAACATCTCCCCTGTGACACGCACAGCACCACCACCACTACTATAGTACTATACTATACACTACACTATACACTACTACACTAATACACTATACTATACACTACTACACTATACACTACTACTACACTAATACACTATACGATACACCACTACACTACACACTATACTATACACTACTACACTCAAAAATCTCCCCTGTGACACACACAGCACCACCACTACTACTATAGTACTACACTATACACTACACTATACACTACTACATACTACACTATACACTACTACTACACTAATACACTACTACATACTACACTATACACTACTACTACACTATACACTACACTACTACACTAATACACTACTACATACTACACTATACACTACTACTACTACACTATACACTACTACTACACTAATACACTACTACATACTACACTATACACTACTACTACACTATACACTACACTACTACACTAATACACTACTACATACTACACTATACACTACTACTACTACACTATACACTACTACTACACTATACACTACTACACTCAAACACCTCCCCTGTGACACGCACAGCACCACCACTACTTACTATACTACTACACTATGCACTACTACACTATACACTACTACACTAATACACTACTACACTACACTATACACTACTACACTACAACATCTCCCCTGTGACACGCACAGCACCACCACTACTCACTATACTACTACACTATACACTACACTATACACTACTACTACAATATACACTACTACACTATACACTACTACACTCGCTATACACTACTACTACAATATACACTACTACACTATACACTACTACACTCGCTATACACTACTACTACTCTAATACACTCACTATACACTACACTACTACACTCACTATACACTACTACTACACTATACACTACTACTATACTATACACTACTACTACACTCACTATACACTACTACACTATACACTACTACTACACTAATACACTCACTATACGCTACTACACTATACACTACACTATACACTACTACTACATACTACACTACTACACCACTATACTACACACACTATACACTACTACACTCACTAAACACTACTACACTACTACTACACTCACTATACACTACACTACTACTACACTCACTATACACTACTACTACACTACTACTACTACACTACTACACTCACTATACACTACACTACTACTGCACTAATACACTCACTATACACTACTACTACACTCAAACATCTCCCCTGTGACACACACAGCACCACCACTACTTACTATAGTACTACACTACTACTACACTATACACTACTACTACACTACACTCACTATACACTACTACTACACTACACTCACTATACACTACTACTACACTACACTCACTATACACTACTACTACTACACTCACTATACACTACTACTACATACTACTCACTATAGTACTACACTACTACACTCACTATACACTACTACACTCACTATACACTACTACTACACTGCTACTTACTATAGTACTACACTACTACACTCACTATACACTACACTACTACACTCACTATACACTACTACTACATACTACTTACTATACTACTACACTACTACACTCACTATACACTACTACTACATACTACTCCCTATACACTACTACTACACTCACTATACACTACTACACTACACTCACTATACACTACTACACAACTCACTATACACTACTACTACACTCACTATACACTACTACTACATACTACTCACTATACACTACTAAATACTACTTACTATAGTACTACACTACTACTACACTCACTATACACTACTACACTATACACTACTACTACTACACTCACTATACACTACTACTACATACTACTTACTATAGTACTACACTACACTACTACTACACTCACTATACACTACTACAACACTACTACACTCACTATACACTACTACAACACTACTACACCACTTACTACTACACTACTTACTACACAACAACTACACTACTTACTACTACTATACACTACTACTACTACACATTACGACTATACACTACCATAGACTACTATACACACTACTACTACTACAAATAGTGTACACACTTCTACTGTACACACTACTATACATTACTACTGTTTTCGCTAACACCCAATACTACACACTACGACACTCATTACCACCACACACACACGCACAACTACACTCACTATTATACACAACCACACACTAGTGACACACAAAGACCCATGTTTGTGTGTATCTTTGTGTCCGTGTGTCCGTGTGTGTGTGTCCGTGTGTAAGTTGTGTCTGTGAGTACACGCAAACCTTTCTTGGTCGTGTTGAAGTATTTGGAGTCCGTCATGATGACAATGAAACCTACACACAACACACACAACACACAGTTACACACACACACGCACAGGCAAAGGTCCACCGTGTAGCCTTAACAGACTGTAGGGGCAAGTGCTGTTAGCGAGCACCTATGAAGGCCGGAACGGTACACGAGGGGGTGGGTGGCCAGCACCACGCCCGACCGCCTTTGTCTCCCTAGTGGCGATGTTTACACACCGCACCAGGTACTCATTTGAGGCCGAGTCGACCTAGGGGAGGCCCAGGACCGGATCAGATAATCGTCACTGGTGTTGGCCGTGAGCGGGAATCGAACCCGGGTCGCCAGGTTCATAGCGCAGCGTAGCGCTAACCGCTACACTATCGCTCCCCACACACACCACACACACACCATACACACACAGGTACACACACACACCACACACACACAGGTACACACACACACCACACACATACAGGTACACACACAGGTACACACACACCACACACACACAGGTACACACACAGGTACACACACACAGGTACACACACAGGTACACACACCACACAGGTACACACACACCACACAGGTACACACACACACCACACACACACAGATGTACACACACACACCACACACACAGATGTACACACACACACCACACACACACACACAGAGGTACACACACACACACCACACACACGCAGAGGTACACACACCACACACACACAGTACACATACTCACACACACTCACAGACACACCACACACTCACAGACACACCACACTCACACACAGACACACCACACTCACACACAGACACCACACACACTCACCACACACTCTCACAGACACACCACACTCACACTCACTCACCACACACACTCACAGACACTACACACACTCACACTCACTCACCACACACATACACACCACACACATACACACCACACACATACACACCACACACTAACAGACACACCACACTCACACTCACTCACCACACACACTCACAAACACTATACACACTCACCACACACACTCACAGACACAACACACACTCACAGACACACCACACACTCACAGACACACCACACACACACTCACAAACACACCACACTCACTCACAGACACACCACACTCACACACAGACACACCACACTCACCACACACACTCACTCACCACACACTCACTCACCACACACTCACTCACCACACACACCACACACACTCACTCACCACACACACTCACAAGACATACCACACACACTCACTCACCATACACACCACACACACTCATATACTCACAGACACACCACACACACTCACACAACCACACACACTCACACACTCACTCACACAGGCGAGTGGTGTGGCCTGACACCACCACCACGCCCGGCCGCCTTTGTATCTCCCTCCCCTCCTACCCCAGTGTCAATACACAAAGTCAAAGGCCCCCCCAGGTAGCCTCTAACAGTGCTGTAGGGGCAAGTGCTGCCGCTAGCTGGTGGCGAGTAGCAGAAGGCCGACACAGTGACACCATCAGCTGTGTTCTATCCACTGCTGGATGACCACCACCACCAGCTGTGTTCTATCTACTGCTGGATGATCACCACCAGCTGTGTTCTATCTACTGCTGGATGATCACCACCAGCTGTGTTCTATCTACTGCTGGATGATCACCACCAGCTGTGCTCTATCTACTGCTGGATGATCACCACCACCAGCTGTGTTCTATCTACTGCTGGATCATCACCACCAGCTGTGTTCTATCTACTGCTGGATGACCACCACCACCAGCTGTGTTCTATCTACTGCTGGATCACCACCACCAGCTGTGTTCTATCTACTGCTGGATAATCACCACCACCACCAGCTGTGTTCTATCCACTGCTGGATGATCACCACCACCAGCTGTGGTCTATCTACTGCTGGATGATCACCAGCACCAGCTGTGTTCTATCTACTGCTGGATGATCACCACCAGCTGTGTTCTATCCACTGCTGGATGATCATCACCATCAGCTGTGGTCTATCTACTGCTGGATGATCACCACCACCAGCTGTGTTCTATCTACTGCTGGATGATCACCACCAGCTGTGTTCTATCTACTGCTGGATGATCACCACCAGCTGTGTTCTATCTACTGCTGGATGATCACCACCAGCTGTGCTCTATCTACTGCTGGATGATCACCACCACCAGCTGTGTTCTATCTACTGCTGGATCATCACCACCAGCTGTGTTCTATCTACTGCTGGATGACCACCACCACCAGCTGTGTTCTATCTACTGCTGGATCACCACCACCAGCTGTGTTCTATCTACTGCTGGATAATCACCACCACCACCAGCTGTGTTCTATCCACTGCTGGATGATCACCACCACCAGCTGTGGTCTATCTACTGCTGGATGATCACCAGCACCAGCTGTGTTCTATCTACTGCTGGATGATCACCACCAGCTGTGTTCTATCCACTGCTGGATGATCATCACCATCAGCTGTGGTCTATCTACTGCTGGATGATCACCACCACCAGCTGTGTTCTATCTACTGCTGGATGATCACCACCACCTGTGTTCTATCTACTGCTGGATGATCACCACCAGCTGTGTTCTATCTACTGCTGGATGATCACCAGCACCAGCTGTGTTCTATCTACTGCTGGATGATCATCACCAGCTGTGTTCTATCTACAGCTGGATAATCACCACCAGCTGTGTTCTATCTACTGCTGGATGATCACCACCAGCTGTGTTCTATCTACTGCTGGATGATCACCACCACCAGCTGTGTTCTATCTACTGCTGGATGATCACCACCAGCTGTGTTCTATCTACTGCTGGATGATCACCACCAGCTGTGTTCTATCTACTGCTGGATGATCACCACCACCAGCTGTGTTCTATCTACTGCTGGATGATCACCACCACCAGCTGTGGTCTATCCACTGCTGGATCACCACCACCACCAGCTGTGTTCTATCTACTGCTGGATGATCACCACCACCAGCTGTGTTCTATCTACTGCTGGATGATCACCACCAGCTGTGTTCTATCTACTGCTGGATGATCACCACCACCAGCTGTGGTCTATCTACTGCTGGATGACCACCACCAGCTGTGTTCTATCTACTGCTGGATGATCACCACCAGCTGTGTTCTATCTACTGCTGGATGATCATCACCACCAGCTGTGTTCTATCTACTGCTGGATGACCACCACCACCAGCTGTGTTCTATCTACTGCTGGATGATCACCACCACCAGCTGTGTTCTATCTACTGCTGGATGATCATCACCAGCTGTGTTCTATCTACTGCTGGATGACCACCACCACCAGCTGTGTTCTATCTACTGCTGGATGATCACCACCAGCTATGTTCTATCTACTGCTGGATGACCACCACCAGCTGTGTTCTATCTACTGCTGGATCACCACCACCACCAGCTGTGTTCTATCTACTGCTGGATGACCACCACCACCAGCTGTGTTCTATCTACTGCTGGATGACCACCACCAGCTGTGTTCTATCTACTGCTGGATGATCACCACCAGCTGTGTTCTATCTACTGCTGGATGATCATCACCACTAGCTGTGTTCTATCTACTGCTGGATGATCATCACCAGCTGTGTTCTATCTACTGCTGGATGACCACCACCACCAGCTGTGTTCTATCTACTGCTGGATGATCATCACCAGCTGTGTTCTATCTACTGCTGGATAATCACCACCACCAGCTGTGTTCTATCTACTGCTGGTTGATCACCAGCACCAGCTGTGTTCTATCTACTGCTGGATGATCACCACCAGCTGTGTTCTATCTACTGCTGGATGATCACCACCACCACCAGCTGTGTTCTATCTACAGCTGGATGATCACCAGCACCAGCTGTGTTCTATCTACTGCTGGATGATCACCACCACCACCAGCTGTGTTCTATCTACTGCTGGATGATCACCACCACCAGCTGTGTTCTATCTACTGCTGGATGACCACCACCAGCTGTGTTCTATCTACTGCTGGATGACCACCACCACCAGCTGTGTTCTATCTACTGCTGGATGATCACCACCACCAGCTGTGTTCTATCTACTGCTGGTTGATCACCACCACCAGCTGTGTTCTATCTACAGCTGGATGATCACCTTCCTAGGCCTTCATCACCGTGAAGCCTGCGGCCTAGTCTGCCTACTAGGCCGCAGGCTTTCCCCCCATACAAAGTCTCAGGGGGCTGCTATGGGGGAAGCCTGCGGCCTAGCAGGCAAACTAGGCCGCAGGCTTACCGTTCACTTCCGGGTTCCGTATGCTACAACTAAAAAAACACAATAACATTTACATCATCATAACAATGGTATTATCATTATAACAATGGTATTATCACCATGATATTATTCTAATTATTACAATATTATTATTCATACTACGATCTCATTCAGATATAGAGACCCCCCCAAAAAACGCCTTATTAAATGAACGTTTGTCACGAAAGCCTTCAGCGTTTTAACTAACGAACAACTCAACAACAAACACAACAACAACCTACTCAACAACAAACTCAACAACAACAATAACCCAAACCTACCCAACAACTCCCTAAAACTCGGAACTTCCTTACGAGAATTTAGACGTCGTGGCGAACAAACAGCACGGAATTTCGACGAGCTGTTACATCAACAACAACAACAAAACAAACAACCACCACCATCACACCAAGATAATCGTTAAAGTTTCACGCGTTAACCGCCACGTACACGCGCCGCTGCTAATAACGCACAGGGGCATCCGACCGACGCGATTGTCATCGACTTTAGTTCAATGATTTGTCCGACGCCTCCGTGTCAATGAATTTGACCGCTCACCGAAGCGCCGCTCGACGCAGACGGGCGGACAGAGACAGAGAGAGACAGAGAGACAGACAGAGACACACAGAGACAGACAGAGACACAGACACACAGGCAGAGACAGACAGAGACAGAGAGACACACAGAGACAGAGAGACACACAGAGACAGACAGAGAGACACACAGAGACAGACACAGACACACAGGCACACACAGGCAGAGACACACAGAGACAGAGAGACACAGACACACAGGCAGAGACAGACAGAGACAGAGAGACACACAGAGACAGAGAGACACACAGAGACAGACAGAGAGACACACAGAGACAGACACAGACACACAGGCACACACAGGCAGAGACACACAGAGACAGAGAGACACAGACACACACAGAGACAGACAGAGACACACAGGCAGAGACAGAGACACACAGGCACACAGAGACACACACAGACACAGAGACACACAGGGACACACAGAGACAGAGACACACAGAGACACAGAGACACACACAGACGGAGACACAGACACACAGAGACACACAGACAGAGATACCAGAGACACACAGAGACAGACACAAGACACACACAGACACACAGAGACACACAGAGATACACACAGAGACAGAGACACAGAGATAGAGACACACAGAGACACACAGACACACAGAGACACAGACACACAGACAGACACACAGAGACAGAGGCAAAGACACACAGAGACACACAAAGATAGAGACACACAGAGACACACACACAGACAGAGACACAGAGACAGATGGAGACACAGAGACACACGGAGACACAGACAGAGACACACACAGACACACACACAGACACAGACACACAGACAGACACAGAGACACAGACAGAGACACACACACGGAGACACAGACAGAGACACACACAGAGAGACACAGACAGACACACACAGACAGAGAGAGACACAGACAGAGACACACACAGACAGACACAGACACAGACAGAGACACAGAGAGAGACAGAGACACAGAGACAGGCGACTCGTGAGGGCCTCACGCGGAGCGAGAAGCGCGGCCTGGACACGGGAGGTGGAGGTGGAGTAGGTGGGGGGTGGTGGAGGGATCCGGTTCCCTATTCATTGAACACAGGAGAGATCCGGTTCCCTATTCATTGAACACCACAGGGATCCGGTTCCATATTCATTTAACACAGGGGGGGATCCGGTTCCCTATTCATTGAACACCACAGGGATCCGGTTCCCTATTCATTGAACACCACAGGGATCCGGTTCCCTATTCATTGAACACCACAGGGATCCGGTTCCCTATTGATTGAACACCACAGGGATCCGGTTCCCTATTCATTGAACACCACAGGGATCCGGTTGCCTATTCATTGAACACGGGTGATCCGGTTCCCTATTCATTTAAGAACAGGGGAATCCGGTTCCCTATTCATTGAACACCAGATGGATCCGGTTCCCTATTTATTGAACACCAGAGGGATCCGGTTCCCTATTCATTGAACACAGGGGGGATCCGGTTCCCTATTCATTGAACACCACAGGGAACCGGTTGCCTATTCATTGAACACGGGTGATCCGGTTCCCTATTCATTTAAGAACAGGGGGATCCGGTTCCCTATTCATTGAACACCAGATGGATCCGGTTCCCTATTTATTGAACACCAGAGGGATCCGGTTCCCTATTCATTGAACACAGGGGGGATCCGGTTCCCTATTCATTGAACACAGGGGGGGTCTCTTTGGGTCTCTATGTATCTCTATGGGTCTCTATATATCTCTATGGGTCTCTGTGTATCTCGATGGGTCTCTATATATCTCTATGGGTCTCTGTGTATCTCGATGGGTCTCTATATATCTCTATGGGTCTCTGTGTATCTCGATGGGTCTCTATATATCTCTATGGGTCTCTGTGTATCTCTATGGGTCTCTATATATCTCTATGGGTCTCTGTGTATCTCTATGGGTCTCTATGTATCTCTATGGGTCTCTATGTATCTCTATGGGTCTCTATGGGTCTCTGTGTACCTCTATGGGTCTCTATGTATCTCTATGAGTCTCTATGTATCTCTATGGGTCTCTGTATATCTCTATGGGTCTCTATGTATCTCTATGGGTCTCTATGTATCTCTATGGGTCTCTATATGACTCTATGGGTCTCTATGTATCAGTATGGGTCTCTATGTATCTCTGTGGGTCTCTATATATCTCTATGGGCCTGTATGTGACTCTATGGGTCTCTATGTATCTCTATGGGTCTCTATGCATCTCTATGGGTCTCTATGTATCTCTATGGGTCTCTATGTAACTCTATGGGTCTCTACATATCTCTATGGGTCTCTATATATCTCTATGGGTCTCTGTATCTCTATGGGTCTCTACATATCTCTATGGGTCTCTGTGTATCTCTATGCGTCTCTATGTAACTCTATGGGTTTCTATGTATCTCTATGGGTCTCTATATATCTCTATAGGTCTATATGGGTCTCTGTGTATCTCTATGGGTCTCTGTATATCTCTACGGGTCTCTATATATCTCATTGGGTCTCTATAATCTCTATGGGTCTCTATGTTTCCCTATGGGTCTCTATATATCTCTATGGGTCTCTATATATCTCTATGGGGTTTTATGTATATCTATGGGTCTCTGTGTATCTCTATGGGTCTCTATATATCTCTATGGGTCTCTATGTATCTCTATGGGTCTCTATGTATCTCTATGGGTCTCTATATGACTCTATGGGTCTCTATGTATCAGTATGGGTCTCTATGTATCTCTGTGGGTCTCTATATATCTCTATGGGCCTGTATGTGACTCTATGGGTCTCTATGTATCTCTATGGGTCTCTATGCATCTCTATGGGTCTCTATGTATCTCTATGGGTCTCTATGTAACTCTAAGGGTCTCTATATGACTCTATGGGTCTCTATATGACTCTATGGGTCTCTATGTATCAGTAGGGGTCTCTATATATCTCTATGCGTCTCTATCTATCTCTATGGGTCTATATATATATCTCTATGGGTCTCTATATATCTCTATGGGTCTCTATGTATCTCTATTGGTCTCTGTGTATCTCTATGGGTCTCTATGTATCTCTATGGGTCTCTATGTATCTCTATGGGTCTCTGTGTATCTCTATGGGTCTCTATCTCTATGGGTCTCTACATATCTCTATGGTTCTCTGCGTATCTCTATGGGTCTCTATGTATCTCTATGCGCCTCTGTGTATCTCTATGGGTCTCTGTGTATCTCTATGGGTCTCTGTGTATCTCTATGGGTCTCTGTGTATCTCTATGGGTCTCTGTGTATCTCTATGGGTCTCTGTGTATCTCTATGGGTCTCTATGTATCTCTATAGGTCTCTGTGTATCTCTATGGGTCTCTATGTATCTCTATGGGTCTCTATGTATCTCTATGGGTCTCTATATATCTCTATGGGTCTCTATGTATCTCTATGGGTCTCTATGTATCTCTATGGGTCTCTATGTATCTCTATGGGTCTCTATATATCTCTATGGGTCTCTATATATCTATGGGTCTCTATGTATCTCTATGGGTCTCTATGTATCTCTATGGGTCTCTATGTACCTCTATGGGTCTCTATGTATCTCTATGGGTCTCTATATATCTCTATGGGTCTCTATATATCTATGGGTCTCTATGTATCTCTATGGGTCTCTATGTATCTCTATGGGTCTCTATATATCTCTATAGGTCTATATGGGTCTCTGTGTATCTCTATGGGTCTCTGTATATCTCTACGGGTCTCTATATATCTCATTGGGTCTCTATAATCTCTATGGGTCTCTATGTTTCCCTATGGGTCTCTATATATCTCTATGGGTCTCTATATATCTCTATGGGGTTCTATGTATATCTATGGGTCTCTGTGTATCTCTATGAGTCTCTATATATCTCTATGGGTCTCTATGTATCTCTATGGGTCTCTATGTATCTCTATGGGTCTCTATATGACTCTATGGGTCTCTATGTATCAGTATGGGTCTCTATGTATCTCTGTGGGTCTCTATATATCTCTTTGGGCCTGTATGTGACTCTATGGGTCTCTATGTATCTCTATGGGTCTCTATGCATCTCTATGGGTCTCTAAGTATCTCTATGGGTCTCTATGTAACTCTAAGGGTCTCTATATGACTCTATGGGTCTCTATATGACTCTATGGGTCTCTATGTATCAGTAGGGGTCTCTATATATCTCTATGCGTCTCTCTATCTCTATGGGTCTATATATATCTCTATGGGTCTCTATATATCTCTATGGGTCTCTATGTATCTCTATTGGTCTCTGTGTATCTCTATGGGTCTCTATATATCTCGATGGGTCTCTATGTATCTCTATGGGTCTCTATGTATCTCTATGGGTCTCTATGTATCTCTATGGGTCTCTATCTCTATGGGTCTCTACATATCTCTATGGTTCTCTGCGTATCTCTATGGGTTTCTATGTATCTCTATGCGTCTCTGTGTATCTCTATGGGTCTCTGTGTATCTCTATGGGTCTCTGTGTATCTCTATGGGTCTCTGTGTATCTCTATGGGTCTCTGTGTATCTCTATGGGTCTCTGTGTATCTCTATGGGTCTCTATGTATCTCTATGGGTCTCTATGTATCTCTATGGGTCTCTATATATCTCTATGGGTCTCTATGCATCTCTATCGGTCTCTATGTATCTCTATGGGTCTCTATGTATCTCTATGGGTCTCTATGTATCTCTATGGGTCTCTATGTATCTCTATGGGTCTCTATATATCTCTATGGGTCTCTATATATCTATGGGTCTCTATGTATCTCTATGGGTCTCTATGTATCTCTATGGGTCTCTATGTACCTCTATGGGTCTCTATGTATCTCTATGGGTCTCTATATATCTCTATGGGTCTCTATATATCTCTATGGGTCTCTATGTATCTCTATGGGTCTCTATATATCTCTATGGGTCTCTATATATCTATGGGTCTCTATGTATCTCTATGGGTCTCTATGTATCTCTATGGGTCTCTATGTACCTCTATGGGTCTCTATGTATCTCTATGGGTCTCTATATATCTCTATGGGTCTCTATATATCTATGGGTCTCTATGTATCTCTATGGGTCTCTATGTATCTCTATGGGTCTCTATGTATCTCTATGGGTCTCTATGCATCTCTATGGGTCTCTATGTATCTCTATGGGTCTCTATGTATCTCTATGGGTCTCTATGGGTCTCGATAGGTCTCTATGTATCTCTATGGGTCTCTATGTATTTCTATGGGTCTCTATGTATCTATATGGGTCTCTATGTATCTCTATGGGTCTATATGGGTCTCTGTGTATCTCTATGGGTCTCTGTGTAACTCTATGGGTCTCTCTGTATCTCTATGGGTCTCTATGTATCTCTATGGGTCTCTACATATCTCTATGGGTCTCTATATATCTCTATGGGTCTCTGTATCTCTATGGGTCTCTGTGTAACTCTATGGGTCTCTCTGTATCTCTATGGGTCTCTATGTATCTCTATGGGTCTCTACATATCTCTATGGGTCTCTATATATCTTTATGGGTCTCTGTATCTCTATGGGTCTCTACATAACTCTATGGGTCTCTGTGTATCTCTATGCGTCTCTATGTAACTCTATGGGTCTCTATGTATCTCTATGGGTCTCTATATATCTCTATAGGTCTATATGGGTCTCTGTGTATCTCTATGGGTCTCTGTATATCTCTACGGGTCTCTATATATCTCATTGGGTCTCTATAATCTATATGGGTCTCTATGTTTCCTTATGGGTCTCTATATATATCTATGGGTCTCTATATATCTCTATGGGTTTCTATGTATATCTATGGGTCTCTGTGTATCTCTATGGGTCTCTATATATCTCTATGGGTCTCTATGTATCTCTATGGGTCTCTATGTGTCTCTATGGGTCTCTATGTATCTCTATGGGTCTCTATATGACTCTATGGGTCTCTACGTATCAGTATGGGTCTCTATGTATCTCTGTGGGTCTCTATATATCTCTATGGGCCTGTATGTGACTCTATGGGTCTCTATGTATCTCTATGGGTCTCTATGCATCTCTATGGGTCTCTATGTATCTCTATGGGTCTCTATGTAACTCTATGGGTCTCTACATATCTCTATGGGTCTCTATATATCTCTATGGGTCTCTGTATCTCTATGGGTCTCTGCATATCTCTATGGGTCTCTGTGTATCTCTATGCATCTCTATGTAACTCTATGGGTCTCTATGTATCTCTATGGGTCTCTATATATCTCTATAGGTCTATATGGGTCTCTGTGTATCTCTATGGGTCTCTGTATATCTCTACGGGTCTCTATATATCTCATTGGGTCTCTATAATCTCTATGGGTCTCTATGTTTCCCTATCGGTCTCTATATATCTCTATGGGTCTCTATATATCTCTATGGGGTTCTATGTATATCTATGGGTCTCTGTGTAACTCTATGGGTCTCTATATATCTCTATGGGTCTCTATGTATCTCTATGGGTCTCTATGTATCTCTATGGGTCTCTATGTATCTCTATGGGTCTCTATATGACTCTATGGGTCTCTATGTATCAGTATGGGTCTCTATGTATCTCTGTGGGTCTCTATATATCTCTATGGGCCTGTATGTGACTCTATGGGTCTCTATGTATCTCTATGGGTCTCTATGCATCTCTATGGGTCTCTATGTATATCTATGGGTCTCTATGTAACTCTATGGGTCTCTATATGACTCTATGGGTCTCTATATGACTCTATGGGTCTCTGTGTATCAGTAGGGGTCTCTATATATCTCTATGCGTCTCTATCTATCTCTATGGGTCTATATATATCTCTATGGGTCTCTATATATCTCTATGGGTCTCTATGTATCTCTATTGGTCTCTGTGTATCTCTATGGGTCTCTATATATCTCGATGGGTCTCTATGTATCTCTATGGCTCTCTATGTATCTCTATGGGTCTCTATGTATCTCTATGGGTCTCTATCTCTATGGGTCTCTACATATCTCTATGGTTCTCTACGTATCTCTATGGGTCTCTATGTATCTCTATGGGTCTCTGTGTATCTCTATGCGTCTCTATGTAACTCTATGGGTCTCTATGTATCTCTATGGGTCTCTATATATCTCTATAGGTCTATATGGGTCTCTGTGTATCTCTATGGGTCTCTGTATATCTCTACGGGTCTCTATATATCTCATTGGGTCTCTATAATCTCTATGGGTCTCTATGTTTCCCTATCGGTCTCTATATATCTCTATGGGTCTCTATATATCTCTATGGGGTTCTATGTATATCTATGGGTCTCTGTGTATCTCTATGGGTCTCTATATATCTCTATGGGTCTCTATGTATCTCTATGGGTCTCTATGTATCTCTATGGGTCTCTATGTATCTCTATGGGTCTCTATATGACTCTATGGGTCTCTATGTATCAGTATGGGTCTCTATGTATCTCTGTGGGTCTCTATATATCTCTATGGGCCTGTATGTGACTCTATGGGTCTCTATGTATCTCTATGGGTTTCTATGCATCTCTATGGGTCTCTATGTATATCTATGGGTCTCTATGTAACTCTATGGGTCTCTATATGACTCTATGGGTCTCTATATGACTCTATGGGTCTCTATGTATCAGTAGGGGTCTCTATATATCTCTATGCGTCTCTATCTATCTCTATGGGTCTATATATATCTCTATGGGTCTCTATATATCTCTATGGGTCTCTATGTATCTCTATTGGTCTCTGTGTATCTCTATGGGTCTCTATATATCTCGATGGGTCTCTATGTATCTCTATGGGTCTCTATGTATCTCTATGGGTCTCTATGTATCTCTATGGGTCTCTATCTCTATGGGTCTCTACATATCTCTATGGTTCTCTACGTATCTCTATGGGTCTCTATGTATCTCTATGGGTCTCTGTGTATCTCTATGGGTCTCTGTGTATCTCTATGGGTCTCTGTGTATCTCTATGGGTCTCTGTGTATCTCTATGGGTCTCTATGTATCTCTATAGGTCTCTGTGTATCTCTATGGGTCTCTATGTATCTCTATGTGTCTCTATATATCTCTATGGATCTCTATATATCTCTATGGGTCTCTATATATATCTATGGGTCTCTATGTATCTCTATGGGTCTCTATGTATCTCTATGGGTCTCTATATATCTCTATGGGTCTCTATGTATCTCTATGGGTCTCTATGTATCTCTATGAGTCTCTATGTATCTCTATGGGTCTCTATGTATCTCTATGGGTCTCTATGTATCTCTATGGGTCTCTATATGACTCTATGTGTCTCTATGTATCTCTATGGGTCTCTATGTATCTCTATGGGTCTCTATGTATTACTATGGGTCTCTATGTATCTCTATGGGTCTCTATGTATCTCTATGGGTCTCTATATGACTCTATGGGTCTGTATGTATTAGTATGGGTCTCTATGTATCTCTATGGGTCTCTATGTATCTCTATGGGTCTCTATGTATCTCTATGGGTCTTCTTATAAGGGTCACTCGTATGGTGATCCCAAGGGCAAGTCCTTAACCGATTCCGATTCCTCCACGCCAATAAAAAAAAACAACCATCACACCACGAATCGATTCCTTAACGCGTAATGCACACCCCCCCCCCCCCAACGACACGGAATCGATACCAGACAAAACGACGCCTCGCTATCCTCGTCTCGGATCTGTACGGATCGGAATCGACCGTAGAAGGCGTGGGGGTGGGGATTTGGCGAGGTGTTCGGGTTTCCTCCCCCCTCTCCGCGCATGCGCAGAACGCGTGGCCTTGTCGTCTTCAGCTGTAGGGCAAACTCCGCTCACCTCACCACCACCACCACTTCGTTTCACCACTTCTCTCCTCACCGCGACGATGTTCTCACGCATCTCGGGCGCTGGCGCCGTGCGCACGGCCATCAGGAGCTTCTCCTCCTCCTCGCAGGTAGAACGCAAAACATTTTTTTAATTTCCCCCTCACGCGACACGACGAGGCCTAGTCGCAACCGCGAAGCCTGCCCGTTGCCGGTGCTCGCCTAGATTCCCTACCGGTTTTGAGGCGCCTCGGGTCACGCCGCGAGGAGCTTGTTGGGGGGCGGGCGGAGTGGGGCTTTGTCGGTGTTCAAGGTTAAATGTTGCTAAGGCATAGTTTCTGCGCTTGTGTGAGCATTAATGCACACACACGCATGCACGCCATTATAAGTCGCACGGATTAATTGTTGATTATATGGGTTCGGTGTTAAGTCTATGGGTCTGTGTGTGTGGTGAGTCTATGGGTGTCTGTGTGGTGAGTCTATGGGTGTCTGTGTGGTGAGTCTTTGGGTCTCTGTGTGATTAGTCTATGGGTCTCTGTGTGATTAGTCTATGGGTCTCTGTGTGGTGAGTCTATGGGTCTCTGTGTGGTGAGTCTATGGGTCTCTGTGTGGTGAGTCTATGGGTCTCTGTGTGGTGAGTCTATGGGTCTCTGTGTGGTGAGTCTATGGGTCTCTGTGTGGTGAGTCTATGGGTCTCTGTGTGGTGAGTCTATGGGTCTCTGTGTGGTGAGTCTATGGGTCTCTGTGTGGTGAGTCTATTCGTCTCTGTGTGACGAGTCTATGGGTCTCTGTGTGATGATTCTATGGGTCCCTGTGTGATTCTGTGGGTCTCTGTGTGAGTCTCCGTGAGTCTATGGATCTCTGCGTGAGTCTATGGGTTATCTGTGTGGTGAGTCTATGGGTCTCCGTGTGAGTCCTGTATACCAGGCGAGGTAGTTAACATCTCACCCCAGGGGAGACAGAGACGCAGACTCCAGATATACAGCAGCAGGTCTAGGCAAGGTCTGGATCGAACCCACGACTTCCTGTATACCAGGCGAGATAGTTAACATTTCACCACAGGGGAGACAGAGACGCAGACTCCAGATATACAGCAGCAGGTCTAGTCAAGGTCTGGATCGAACCCACGACTTCCTGTAGACCAGGCGAGATAGTTAACATTTCACCACAGGGGAGACACGCAGACTCCAGATATACAGCAGCAGCAAGGCTAGTCAAGGTCTGGATCGAACCCACGACTTCCTGTACACCAGGCGAGATAGTTAACATCTCACCACAGGGGAGACAGAGACGCAGACTCCAGATATACAGCAGCAGCAGCAAGGCTAGTCAAGGTCTGGATCGAACCCACGACTTCCTGTAGACCAGGCGAGATAGTTAACATCTCACCACAGGGGAGACAGAGACGCAGACTCCAGATATACAGCAGCAGCAGGTCTAGTCAAGGTCTGGATCGAACCCACGACTTCCTGTAGACCAGGCGAGATAGTTAACATCTCACCACAGGGGAGACACGCAGACTCCAGATATACAGCAGCAGGTCTAGTCAAAGTCTGGATCGAACCCACGACTTCCTGTATACCAGGCGAGATAGTTAACATCTCACCACAGGGGAGACACGCAGACTCCAGATATACAGCAGCAGCAGCAGCAAGGCTAGTCAAGGTCTGGATCGAACCCACGACTTCCTGTATACCAGGCGAGATAGTTAACATGTCACCACAGGGGAGACAGAGACGCAGACTCCAGATATACAGCAGCAGCAGCAAGGCTAGTCAAGGTCTGGATCGAACCCACGACTTCCTGTATACCAGGCGAGATAGTTAACATTTCACCACAGGGGAGACACGCAGACTCCAGATATACAGCAGCAGCAGCAGCAAGGCTAGTCAAGGTCTGGTTCGAACCCAGGACTTCCTGTAGACCAGCGAGATAGTTAACATCTCACCACAGGGGAGACAGAGACGCAGACTCCAGATATACAGCAGCAGCAGCAGCAAGGCTAGTCAAGGTCTGGATCGAACCCACGACTTCCTGTATACCAGGCAAGATTGTTAACATCTCACCACAGGGGAGACAGACACGCAGACTCCAGATATACAGCAGCAGCAGCAAGGCTAGTCAAGGTCTGGATCGAACCCACGACTTCCTGTAGACCAGGCGAGTTAGTTAACATTTCACCACAGGGGAGACACGCAGACTCCAGATATACAGCAGCAGGTCTAGTCAAAGTCTGGATCGAACCCACGACTTCCTGTAGACCAGGCGAGATAGTTAACATCTCACCACAGGGGAGACACGCAGACTCCAGATATACAGCAGCAGCAGCAGGTCTAGTCAAGGTCTGGATCGAACCCACGACTTCCTGTAGACCAGGCGAGATAGTTAACATTTCACCACAGGGGAGACAGAGACGCAGACTCCAGATATACAGCAGCAGCAGGTCTAGTCAAGGTCTGGATCGAACCCACGACTTCCTGTATACCAGCGAGATAGTTAACATTTCACCACAGGGGAGACAGAGACGCAGACTCCAGATATACAGCAGCAGGTCTAGTCAAAGTCTGGATCGAACCCACGACTTCCTGTATACCAGGCGAGATTGTCAACATTTCACCACAGGGGAGACAGAGACGCAGACTCCAGATATACAGCAGCAGCAGCAGGTCTAGTCAAGGTCAAACCCCGACACCTCCTGCGTTATGCACTACAGGAGAGGTATCCAACATCTCCTAGGTACCGTGTAACTCTCGCACATCGATCTCTCTACACCTCCCTTGGCACCAAATGTAGACTGAGGCGTCGTCTATCGTCTGGGTCGAGATCGAGGTCACCGTCTCCTGCTTAGCCTGTGTGTTAGAGAGAGAGAGATGGACGTCTCATGTAGCCGCTGAGAGGTGGAAGTCTCATCTAGGTCGCTGTGAGATGGACGTCTCATCTAGCCACTGTGATAGCCCTGGCAGGGAGGGGGGGGGAGATGGAGGAGAGGGAGGGGAGGGGGGGAGGGAGGAGAGGGAGGAGAGGGGAGGGAGGGGTGGGGAGGGAGGGGGGGAGGAGATGGAGGGGAGGGGGGAGGGAGGAGAGGGGAGGGAAGGAGAGGAGATGGAGGAGAGGGAGGGGAGGAGAGGGGAGGGAGGGGGGAGAGGGAGGGGAGGGGGGGAGGAGATGGAGGAGAGGGAGGGGAGGAGATGGAGGAGAGGGAGGGAGGGAGGAGAGGAGAGGGAGGGGAGGAGAGGGAGGAGACGGAGGAGAGGGGAGGGAGGGGAGGGGAAGGAGGGGAGGAGAGGGAGGGGGGAGATGGAGGAGATGGAGGGGAGGGAGGAGAGGGAGGAGAGGGAGGGAAGGGAGGGAAGGGAGGGGGAGGGAGCAGGAGGGGGAGCCGCAGTTTGAGTAGCACCCATAGGTCAGGAATGAAGGGGAAACGCTCGAAGAGCCAGGCGATGGTAGTGATGGTGGTGGTGATGGTGGTGGTGATGGTGGTGGTGATGGTGATGGTGGTGGTGATGGTGGTGGTGATGGTGATGGTGGTGGTGATGGTGATGGTGGTGGTGATGGTGGTAGTGATGGTGGTGGTGATGGTGGTGGTGATGGTGATGGTGGTGGTGATGGTGGTGGTGGTAGTGATGGAGGTAGTGATGGTGGTAGTGATGGTGGTGGTGATGGTGGTAGTGATGGTGGTAGTGATGGTGGTAGTGATGGTGGTAGTGATGGTGGTAGTGATGGTGGTGGTGATGGTGGTAGTGATGGTGGTAGTGATGGTGGTAGTGATGGTGGTAGTGATGGTGGTAGTGATGGTGGTAGTGATGGTGGTAGTGATGGTGGTGGTGATGGTGGTGGTGATGGTGGTGGTGATGGTGGTGGTGATGGTGGTAGTGATGGTGGTGGTGGTAGTGATGGTGGTAGTGATGGAGGTAGTGATGGTGGTAGTGATGGTGGTAGTGGCGGTGGTAGTGATGGTGGTAGTGATGGTGGTAGTGATGGTGGTGGTGGTAGTGATGGTGGTAGTGATGGAGGTAGTGATGGTGGTAGTGGCGGTGGTAGTGATGGTGGTAGTGATGGTGGTAGTGATGGTGGTGGTGGTGGTGGTGATGGTGGTAGTTATGGTGGTAGTGATGGTGGTAGTGATGGTGGTAGTGGCGGTGGTAGTGGCGGTGGTAGTGGCGGTGGTAGTGGCGGTGGTGGTGATGGTGGTGGTGATGGTGGTGGTGATGGTGGTAGTGATGGTGGTAGTGATGGTGGTGGTGATGGTGGTAGTGATGGTGGTGGTGGTAATAGCCACAGACGTTTGATTTAGGCTGGAAGAAACTGGTGAGCTCTGAAGCTGCCCAGCCCCAGCTGGTTGGGTACAGTAACGATGGTGGTCATGGTGGTGATAGTGGTGATGGGGATGATAGTGGTGATGGTAGTGGTGGTGGTGTTAGTGGTGATGATGGTGGTGATGATAGTGGTAATGATAGTGGTGATGATAGTGGTAATGATAGTGGTGGTGGTGGTGATAGTGGTGTTAGTGGTGATGATAGTGGTGGTGATAGTGGTGGTGATAGTGGTGATGATAGTGGTGGTGATAGTGGTGATGATAGTGGTGGTGATAGTGGTGGTGATAGTGGTGGTGATAGTGGTGGTGATAGTGGTGGTGATAGTGGTGGTGATAGTGGTGATGATAGTGGTGGTGATAGTGGTGTTAGTGGTGATGATGGTGGTGATAGTGGTGGTGATAGTGATGGTGATGATGGTGGTGGTGGTGGTGATAGTGGTGTTAGTGGTGATGGGGATGATAGTGGTGATGATAGTGGTGATGATAGTGGTGATGATAGTGGTGATGATAGTGGTGATGATAGTGGTGGTGATAGTGATGGTGATAGTGATGGTGATAGTGGTGATAGTGGTGGTGATAGTGATGATGTTAGTGGTGGTGGTGGTGATGATAGTGCTGGTGATAGTGATGGTGATGATGATAGTGGTGATGGTAGTGGTGATGATAGTGGTGATGATAGTGGTGGTGATAGTGGTGGTGATAGTGGTGGTGATAGTGGTGGTGATAGTGATGGTGATGATGTTAGTGGTGGTGGTGGTGATAGTGGTGTTAGTGGTGATGGGGATGATAGTGGTGATGATGATGGTAATGGGGGAGGGGAGGGTACCCCCAGTGGCAGGGAGCTATTATAAGGAGCTGGGCAAGGTTACAGAGTGGTTCATTTTACCTTGTGTGTGTGTGTACACGTGTGTGTGTGTGTACACGTGTGTGTGTGTGTACACGTGTGTGTGTGTGTACACGTGTGTGTGTGTGTGTGTACACGTGTGTGTGTGTGTGTACACGTGTGTGTGTGTGTGTACACGTGTGTGTGTGTGTGTGTGTACACGTGTGTGTGTGTGTACACGTGTGTGTGTGTGTACACGTGTGTGTGTGTGTGTACACGTGTGTGTGTGTACACGTGTGTGGGGAGCGGTGGGTGCGGTGGTTAGCTCTACGCTGCGCTACGAACCCGGCGACCCGAGTTCAATTCCCGTTCACAGCCACCACCAACACCACCGGTGACAAATTATCCGAACCGGTACCTGGGCTTCCCCTAGGTCGACTCGGCCTCAAACGAGTTCCTTTGTGCCGGGGTGAGTGAGGTGGGTGGGTGTGTGGGTGGGTGAGCGAGTGGGTGAGCGGTTGGGTGAGCGGGTGGGTGGGTGGGTGAGTGGGCGGGCGGGTGGGTGAGTGGTTGGGTGGGCGAGTGGTTGGGTGGGCGAGTGGTTGGGTGGGCGAGTGGTTGGGTGGGCGAGTGGTTGGGTGGGCGGGTGGGTGGGTGGGTGAGTGGTTGGGTGGGTGGGTGGGTGAGTGGTTGGGTGGGTGGGTGGGTGAGTGGTTGGGTGGGTGGGTGGGTGAGTGGTTGGGTGGGTGGGTGGGTGAGTGGTTGGGTGGGTGGGTGGGTGAGTGGTTGGGTGGGTGGGCGAGTGGTTGGGTGGGTGGGCGAGTGGTTGGGTGGGTGGGTGGTTGGGTGGGTGAGTGAGTGGGTGGGTGGGCGAGTGGTTGTGTGGGTGGGCGAGTGGTTGTGTGGGTGGGAGAGTGGTTGGGTGGGTGGGTGGGTGAGTGAGTGGGTGGTTAGTGGAGAGGTTAAACCGGGTCGTATTGTCACACTGAACGATGTTAAACACGGCAATGTTTGTGCCCAGGGGGGCAACTCTGTTCCAGGCACGATCCGGCCCATCCCACTCGCGACAGCCACTCAGCTGTCGCGTGCGGGAATTTGGAGCTGCAGCCCAAACAGCTCTTAACGCATTATTCTACAGACTCAGAGACCCCACTCACTGACTCACTCATCCACCCACTCACTCACCCACTCACTCACCCACTCACTCACCCACTCACTCACCCATTCACCCACTCACTCACTCACTCACTCATCCACCCACTCACTCACCCACTCACTCACCCACTCACTCATTCACCCACTCACTCACTCACCCACTCACTCACCCACTCACTTACCTACTCACTCACCTACTCACTCACCCACTCACTCACCTACTCACTCACCCACTCACTCACCCACTCATCCACCCACTCACTCACCCACTCACTCACCCACTCACTCACCCACTCACTCACTCACTCACCCACTCACCCACCCACCCACTCACTCACTCACTCACCCACCCACTCACCCACCCACTCACCCACTCACTCACCCACTCACTCACCCACCCACCCACTCACTCACTCATCCACCCACTCACTCACCCACTCACCCACTCATTCACCCACTCACTCACTCACCCACTCACTCACCCACTCACTCACCCACCCACCCACCCACTCACTCACTCACCCACCCACCCACACACTCACCCACCTACCCACCCACCCACCCACTCACTCACCCACCCACCCACTCACTCACCCACTCACTCACCCACCCACCCACCCACTCACTCACCCACTCACTCACCCACTCACCCACCCACCCACTCACTCACCCACCCACCCACCCACTCACTCACTCACCCACCCACTCACTCACCCACTCACTCACCCACCCACCCACTCACTCACCCACTCACTCACCCACTCACCCATTCACTCACTCACTCACTCACCCACTCACTCACCCACTCACCCACCCACCCACTCACCCATTCACCCACCCACCCACCCACTCACCCACCCACTCACCCACCCACCCACTCACTCACTCACTCACCCACTCACCCACCCACCCACTCACTCACCCACCCACCCACTCACCCACTCACCCACCCACTCACCCACCCACTCACTCACCCACTCACTCACCCACTCACTCACCCACCCACTCACTCACTCACCCACTCATTCACCCACCCACCCACCCACTCACCCACCCACTCACCCACCCACCCACTCACCCACTCACTCACCCACTCACTCACCCATTCACTCACCCACTCACTCACCCACTCACTCACCCACCCACCCACCCACTCACCCACCCACTCACTCACTGACCCACTCACTCACCCACTCACCCATTCACTCACTCACTCACTCACCCACCCACTCACTCACCCACCCACCCACTCACCCACTCACTCACCCACTCATTCACCCACTCACCCACTCACCCACTCACTCACTCACCCACTCACCCACCCACCCACCCACTCACTCACTCACTCACCCATTCACCCACTCACCCACTCACCCACCCACCCACCCACTCACCCACTCACTCACCCACCCACCCACTCACTCACCCACTCACTCACCCACTCACTCACCCACTCACTCACCCACTCACCCACCCACTCACCCACCCACCCACCCACTCACTCACCCACCCACTCACTCACCCACCCACCCACCCACTCACTCACCCACCCACTCACCCACCCACTCACCCACCCACCCACCCACTCACCCACCCACCCACCCACCCACTCACCCACCCACCCACTCACCCACCCACCCACTCACCCACCCACCCACTCACCCACCCACTCACCCACTCACCCACCCACCCACTCACTCCCCCACCAACTCACCCACCCACCCACTCACTCCCCCACCTACCCACCCACCCACTCACCCACCCACTCACCCACCCACCCACTCACCCACTCACTCACCCACCCACTCACTCACTCACCCACCCACTCATTCACCCACTCACTCACCCACTCACCCACCCACCCACTCACCCACCCACCCACTCACCCACCCACCCACCCACTCACCCACTCACCCACTCACTCACCCACCCACTCACTCACCCACCCACTCACCCACTCACTCACCCACCCACTCACTCAGCCACCCACTCACTCACCCACCCACCCACTCACTCACCCACTCACTCACCCACTCACCCATTCACTCACTCACCCACCCACTCACTCACCCACTCACTCACTCACCCACCCACCCACTCACCCACCTACCCACCCACCCACTCACTCACCCACCCACCCACTCACCCACTCACTCACCCACTCACCCACCCACTCACTCACCCACCCACCCACTCACCCATTCACCCACTCACCCACCCACCCACTCACCCACTCACCCACCCACCCACTCACTCCCCCACTCACTCCCCCACTCACTCCCCCACCCACCCACTCACCCACCCACCCACTCACTCACCCACCCACCCACTCACCCACCCACCCACTCACTCACTCACCCACTCACTCACTCACCCACCCACCCACCCACTCACTCACTCACTCACCCACTCACTCACCCACTCACCCATTCACTCACTCACTCACTCACCCACTCACCCACCCACCCACTCACCCATTCACCCACCCACTCACCCACTCACCCACCCACTCACCCACCCACCCACTCACTCACCCACCCACCCACCCCCTCACTCACTCACCCACCCACTCACCCACCCACTCACCCACCCACCCACCCACTCACCCACTCACTCACCCACCCACTCACTCACCCACTCACTCACCCACTCACCCACTCGCCCACTCACCCACCCACTCACTCACTCACCCACCCACCCACCCACTCACCCATTCACCCACCCACCCACCCCCTCACTCACTCACCCACCCACCCACCCACCCCCTCACTCACTCACCCACCCACCCACCCACCCCCTCACTCACTCACCCACCCACCCACTCACCCACCCACTCACTCACTCACCCACTCACTCACTCCCCCACCAACTCACTCCCCCACCCACTCACTCCCCCACCAACTCCCCCATCAACTCACCCACCCACTCACCCACTCCCCCACCCACAAACTCCCCCACCTACCCACCCACTCACCCACCCACCCACCCTCTCCCCTGTCTCTCTGTGCAGTCCCTGACGAGGGTGGCTGTGCTCGGGGCAGCCGGGGGCATTGGGCAACCTCTCTCCCTGCTGCTCAAGGGCAGCCCGCTGGTGTCTGAGCTCTCGCTGTACGACATCGTTCACACGCCCGGCGTCGCCGCGGACCTCAGCCACATTGAGACGCGGGCACGGGTCACCGGTAGGATACACCACACACACACAGAGACACCTACACACACACACGGAGACACCTACACACACAGAAACACCTACACACACACACACACAGAGACACCTACACACAGAGACACCTACACACACACACACAGAGACACCTACACACAGAGACACCTACACACACACAGAGACACCTACACACACAGACACCTACACACACACACACAGAGACACCTACACACTCGCACGCCTACACACACACAGAGACACCTACACACACACAGAGACACCTACACACACAGAGACATCTACACACACACACAGAGACACCTACACACACACACACACAGAGACACCTACACACACACACAGAGACACCTACACACAGAGACACCTACACACACACACAGAGACACCTACACACACACACACAGAGACACCTACACACACACACAGAGACACCTACACACACACACAGAGACACCTACACACACAGAGACACCTACACACACAGAGACACCTACACACACACAGAGACACCTACACACACAGAGACACCTACACACACACACAGAGACACCTACACACACAGAGACATCTACACACACAGAGACACCTACACACACAGAGACACCTACACACACACACAGAGACACCTACACACACACAGAGACACCTACACACACACACACACAGAGACACCTACACCTACACACACAGAGACACCTACACACACAGAGACACCTACACACACAGAGACACCTACACACACAGAGACACCTACACACACACAGAGACACCTACACACACACAGAGACACCTACACACACACAGAGACACCTACACACACAGAGACACCTACACACACACACAGAGACACCTACACACACACAGAGACACCTACACACACGCACGCCTACACACACACACACACAGAGACACCTACACACACACAGAGACACACACACACACAGAGACATCTACACACACGCACGCCTACACACACACAGAGACACCTACACACACACACAGAGACACCTACACACACACACACAGAGACACCTACACACACACACAGAGACACCTACACACACACACAGACACCTACACACACACACAGAGACACCTACACACACACACAGAGACACCTACACACACAGAGACACCTACACACACACACAGAGACACCTACACACACAGAGACATCTACACACATGCACAGAGACACCTACACACAGAGACACCTACACACACACACAGAGACACCTACACACACACAGAGACACCTACACACACACACAGAGACACCTACACACACACACAGAGACACCTACACACACACACACACACAGAGACACCTACTCACACACAGAGACAGAGACACACACACACAAAGACACCTACACACACGCACAGAGACACCTACACACACACACAGAGACACCTACACACACACACAGAGACACCTACACACACAGAGACACCTACACACACAGAGACACCTACACACACACACACACAGAGACACCTACACACCTACACACACAGAGACACCTACACACACACAGAGACACCTACACACACAGAGACACCTACACACACACACAGAGACACCTACACACAGAGACACCTACACACACACACAGAGACACCTACACACACACACACAGAGACACCTACACACACAGAGACACCTACACACACAGAGACACCTACACACACACACAGAGACACACACACACACACACAGAGACACACACAGAGACACCTACACACACACACAGAGACACCTACACACACAGAGACACCTACACACACAGAGACACCTACACACACAGAGACACCTACACACACACACAGAGACACCTACACACACACACAGAGACACACACAGAGACACCTACACACACACAGAGACACCTACACACACACAGAGACACCTACACACACACACACAGAGACACCTACACACACAGAGACACCTACACACACGCACGCCTACACACACACAGAGACACCTACACACACACACAGACACCTACACACACAGAGACATCTACACACATGCACAGAGACACCTACACACAGAGACACCTACACACACACACAGAGACACCTACACACACACACAGAGACACCTACACACACACACACAGAGACACCTACACACACACACAGAGACACCTACACACACACACACAGAGACACCTACACACACACAGAGACAGAGACACACACACACAAAGACACCTACACACACGCACAGAGACACCTACACACACACAGAGACACCTACACACACACACAGAGACACCTACACACACAGAGACACCTACACACACAGAGACACCTACACACACAGAGACACCTACACACACACACACACACAGAGACACCTACACACCTACACACACAGAGACACCTACACACACAGAGACACCTACACACACAGAGACACCTACACACACACAGAGACACCTACACACAGACACCTACACACACACACAGAGACACCTACACACACACACAGAGACACCTACACACACAGAGACACCTACACACACAGAGACACCTACACACACACACAGAGACACACACACACACACAGAGACACACACAGAGACACCTACACACACACAGAGACACCTACACACACAGAGACACCTACACACACAGAGACACCTACACACACAGAGACACCTACACACACACAGAGACACCTACACACACACACACAGAGACACCTACACACACAGAGACACCTACACACACGCACGCCTACACACACACAGAGACACCTACACACACACAGAGACACCTACACACACACACAGAGACACCTACACACACAGACACCTACACACACAGAGACACCTACACACACACACAGAGACACCTACACACACAGAGACACCTACACACAGAGACACCTACACACACACACAGAGACACCTACACACACACACAGACACCTACACACACACACAGAGACACCTACACACACACACAGAGACACCTACACACACAGAGACACCTACACACACAGAGACACCTACACACACACACAGAGACACCTACACACACACACACACGCACGCCTACACACACACAGAGACACCTACACACACAGAGACATCTACACACACAGAGACACCTACACACACACACAGAGACACCTGCACACACACACAGAGACACCTACACACACAGAGACACCTACACACACACACAGAGACACCTACACACACACACAGAGACACCTACACACACACAGAGACACCTACACACACAGAGACACTTACACACACAGAGACACCTACACACACACACAGAGACACCTACACACACAGAGACACCTACACACACACACAGAGACACCTACACACACACACAGAGACACCTACACACACACACAGAGACACCTACACACACACACAGAGACACCTACACACACACACAGAGACACCTACACACACGCACGCCTACACACACAGAGACACCTACACACACGCATGCCTACACACACAGAGACACCTACACACACAGAGACACCTACACACACGCACGCCTACACACACACAGAGACACCTACACACGCATGCCTACACACACAGAGACACCTACACACACGCACAGACACCTACACACACACATAGAGACACCTACACACACGCACAGAGACACCTACACACACACACAGAGACACCTACACACACACACAGAGACACCTACACACACGCACAGAGACACCTACACACACACACAGAGACACCTACACACACACACAGAGACACCTACACACACGCACGCCTACACACACACAGAGACACCTACACACACGCACGCCTACACACACACAGAGACACCTACTCACACGCACGCCTACACACACACGGAGACACCTACACACACACACAGAGACACCTACACACACACACAGAGACACCTACACACACACACACAGAGACACCTACACACACAGAGACACCTACACACACACACAGAGACACCTACACACACACACGCACGCCTACACACGCCTACACACAACAACAACCGCCATTCGCCACTAAGTGGCGGTGACGTCACCACGACGCTTGTGCCAGGCTACGTGGACCTTGAGGCCACGTGAAGTGTCGAACGCCCGCCGGCAGGAGGTCACGGGGCAGACCCAGCAGGTGCCACGGGTCGACTGACTGAGATGACTGGCTGATGCACCACCTGTGCCCCCTACTGTGCCAACCTGCTGTGCTTTAGCCACCCGGCGCTCCGCTCGTTGTTGTGAGCGTCGCTCCTCCGCCCTCCGTTGTTGTTGTTGGAGGGCAACTGCCCACGAGCCTCCTCCACAGAGGCCGATCTTGACACTGCTGGTACCGGTCATCGGCTAGTCCACTCAGCTCCACGTCCTCCTGTCTCTTTGTGTCTCTCTGTCTCTCTGTGTCTCTCTTTCTGTCTCTTTCTGTCTCTCTCTGTCTCTCTCCGTCTCTCTCTCTCTGTGTCTCTCTCTGTTTCTCTCTCTGTCTCTCTCTGTCTCTCTCTGTCTCTCTCTGTCTCTCTCTGTCTCTTTCTGTCTCTCTCTGTCTCTCTCTCTCTCTGTCTCTCTCTCTCTGTCTCTCTCTCTGTCTCTCTGTCTCTCTCTCTGTCTCTCTCTCTGTGTCTCTCTTTCTGTGTCTCTCTCTGTTTCTCTCTCTGTCTCTCTCTGTCTCTCTCTGTCTCTCTCTGTCTCTCTCTCTCTGTGTCTCTCTCTCTGTGTCTCTCTCTCTCTGTCTCTCTCTCTCTCTCTGTCTCTCTCTGTCTCTCTCTCTGTCTCTCTCTCTGTCTCTCTCTGTCTCTCTCTCTGTCTCTCTCTCTCTGTGTCTCTCTTTCTGTCTCTCTCTGTCTCTCTCTCTCTGTGTCTCTCTTTCTGTCTCTCTCTCTCTCTGTCTCTCTTTCTGTCTCTCTCTGTTTCTCGCTCTGTCTCTCTGTCTCTCTCTCTGTCTCTCTCTGTCTCTTTCTGTCTCTCTCTGTCTCTCTCTCTATGCTGCCCTCTAACCCTGATTGCTCCCCCCCCCCTCCCCCCTCCCCCCTCCCCCAGGTCACGTTGGGGCAGATCAGCTGGGGGCAGCACTGAAGGGCAGTGAGGTGGTGGTGATTCCTGCCGGAGTCCCTCGCAAGCCAGGCGAGTTACAACAACAACAACCACAACAACCACAACAACCACCACAACCACTACAACCACCACAACAACCACGCTGTTCGTGCTATTAAACTATTATACGTATCTACCCGGTGGAAGTCTCCCACTGAGCTGCTAAGGCGTAGATCATTCAGAGACCCACACAGAGACCCACAGAGACCCACAGAGACCCACAGAGACCCACACAGAGACCCACACAGAGACCCACACAGAGACCCACACAGAGACCCACACAGAGACCCACACAGAGACCCACACAGAGACCCACACAGAGACCCACACAGAGACCCACACAGAGACCCACACAGAGACCCACACAGAGACCCACACAGAGACCCACACAGAGACCCACACAGAGACCCACACAGAGACCCACACAGAGACCCACACAGAGACCCACACAGAGACCGACAGAGACCCACACAGAGACCCACACAGAGACCCACACAGAGACCCACAGAGACCCCCATAGAGACCCACACCAAGACCCACACAGAGACCGACAGAGACCCACACAGAGACCCACACAGAGACCCCCATAGAGACCCACACCAAGACCCACACAGAGACCGACAGAGACCCACACAGAGACCCACACAGAGACCCACACAGAGACCCACACAGAGACCCACACAGAGACCCACACAGAGACCCACACAGAGACCCACACAGAGACCCACACAGAGACCCACACAGAGACCCACACAGAGACCCACACAGAGACCCACACAGAGACCCACACAGAGACCCACACAGAGACCCACACAGAGACCCACACAGAGACCCACACAGAGACCCACACAGAGACCCACACAGAGACCCACACAGAGACCCACACAGAGACCCACACAGAGACCCACAGAGAGACCCACAGAGAGACCCACAGAGAGACCCACAGAGAGACCCACAGAGAGACCCACACAGACACCCATAGAGACCCACACAGAGACCCACACAGAGACCCACACAGAGACCCACACAGACACCCATAGAGACCCACACAGAGACCCACACAGAGACCCACACAGACACCCATAGAGACCCACACAGAGACCCACACAGAGACCCACACAGAGACCCACACAGAGACCCACACAGAGACCCACACAGAGACCCACACAGAGACCCACACAGAGACACACAGAGACCCCCACAGAGACCCACACAGAGACCCACACAGAGACCCACACAGAGACCCACACAGAGACCCACACAGAGACCCACACAGAGACCCACACAGAGACCCACACACAGAGACCCCCACACAGAGACTCCCACACAGAGACCCACACAGAGGCCCACACAGAGACCCACACAGAGACCCACACAGAGACCCACACAGAGACCCACACAGAGACCCACACAGAGACCCACACAGAGACCCACACAGAGACCCACACAGAGACCCACACAGAGACCCACACAGAGACCCACACAGAGACCCACACAGAGACCCACACAGAGACCCACACAGAGACCCACACAGAGACCCACACAGAGAACCACAGAGACCCACACAGAGA